TTCTTCGACTGCGTTTGCGGCCGCTGCGTCCCTTGAACCGATTGTTGACATTTCCTTGAGCCAGAAACTTGGCAACAATATGCAAAATTACGTTTCGGGATGGTGCTTTTTTGACCTTGAAGTGTTTTCGGAACTTTCGCTGTGTCGAAACGACCGACTTAGTCTCAAAGTATAATTGCACGATTTTTGTTTTTGCGTCTTCAGACCACGGCTTCATTTTTGCAACTCAGCAAGTGTGACATAATGTAAATCTCTGAAAAATTCTCGTTCTTTCCACGTGTATTTTATTTTGTTTAAATGTTGCTAAGGGTCCTCCATTTGCAAAAGAAATTCGTCCGACTTTTTTGAGAAGCCCGGTATTTGCTGTCCTGAATAAATGAGTGGAATGCTATGTCAGAATGCAGTATTATCGCATCAGAGAGCACATTGTTGGAGTGTGAATCAGCCTGGCGTGTCAGAGTATCAGGGATTGACTGGATAATCTCTGGTGATATAGATATGACCTATGGAGATACATAGTTTGCTTGAAAGCAATAAGCGTAGGTGATTGAAGCATTGGATTACAAGATGTCTTGCCATCGGCTCGATTGATTAAATCTCTGTATCGCGCTGAGTTTGACCTACTCCTAGCTGGTTTTAGTTCGGTAAAGAACATGTGTTTGGATTATAAACGAGAATATCCGAGTGATGCAAACAGGTGTATCGCTGCCTTTAACTTGTTAGAACACAAGCAGCGTCTCCAAGCGCACAGAGTACCTACACTAACACTTCCTTATATGCCCTCCTGCTGGCCGGTGCCTTTGGATTGTTATCGTGAAAAATAGAGCATAAAAACATCACATTACACACGATGGTGAGCTTGACAATGATATCACCCACCATCAAGCCTTCAAAGGAAGTATCTTATGTTCACCTAAATGCATTACCAAGGCAGATCGACAGAAGCTTACCCGGCACTAGGCTTAGAAATAGTCAGACTGTCTTCGACGTAGCTTCATCGAACAATAGTGTTTTTAAGAGCTTACTTTGCCCTGCTCAGTGTTCAGTGTCCGCCTGTCCGTCTCAACATGCATCAGTCCATCTCAGCATTAACCCTATTCCTGGCGGGGGGCGGGGGGGCCTCAGGAGCCCCCCCCTGAGGTTTTTTGGTTATTTCTCCCAAACGCGTTGAGCTAGGAAGCTCAAATTTTCTGACTTTTCCTAAAAGGCTTCTACGCAACATGTCTGAAAATTTTGAGTTGATCTGACCTCAGGTCAGGTCACCAGAGGCGGTTTGGTGACCCTACCTCAGAAAAGTTTGCAATCACGCCAGAGCTAGAGTTTTTGACCGATCAATTTCTTCTCTTCAGGCTTTAGTTAGGGTACCAGTATGTGCAATTTGTATATCTCGGAATTTTGATATCGGTGACCTAAGGTCAGGTCAGTTTCGCGACCTCCCCATTATAAGTCAATGGGGGAAAAATCAACTCCCTGTTTTTACCACTAAAACGGGTCGGAATGGCCCCATATACCATACATGACTTCATATACGATCAACCTTCACTACCTTGAGGTCTGTTTTGCTGTTGGGCAGCTGTGAGGTCATGTGACGTCATCAAAGGTCACCAAAGGTTTTTGGCCAATAACTCCGTACAGGAACAAGATACAGACGCGTGGATGGTCTCATTGTGTTCAGCTCGTCAAGACGCATCGAATGCTATACATGATGACCTCGAGGTCACGTGACCTGAGGTCAACCTTTGACCTTGACCTTTCGAGGTCAACATATATATCATTCGATGCGGATTGACGAGAGGATCACGATGATGCCCTTAGTTTGTTCCTATCTTGACTAATTCGAAAGTTATTCGAGAAAAACTCTCTCCATATCTAGCGCCGCCATTTTGACTTTTTCGACCCCTGTGACGTCATCTTTGACCTGACCTGAAAATGACCTTAGTAAAAATTGTAGACCTTGTCCATGCGTATCCGATGCCGTTTACCGCTTGTCGCTATCTTGCTTCGTTCTCGAGATCTCAGGGGGGGCCGAATCGGCCCCCCCCCCCCGCCAGTTTCTTGTCCCGGCGGAGCCCGCCAGGAATAGGATTAAGCTCCGTTATGCATGCCATGTAACATAGCTTCCGCCTGACATTTGAACACATTAATCTTGTGTTATCAAACTTTCTACACATTGACTAAGTTTTACGACACATAAGAAACTATAGTAGGAAGTTCATCACTGCCTCCATTCCAAATTTAGCGTAACACAAAGGAAAAGTACCTAATTGTATTCAGTTCACAATGACCCCGAGTGAGCTCGTTGAGAGTGAACATAATGTTATAAAATAATAGCGTACATTTCAGGTGTCAGCAATTGGGGAAGCATCGACATGGTATTGTATGTACATGATACCTACATGTACCTATGTGTAGTTGACTTTGAAACACATCACAGGCTGATAATCGAAATTAACATCCAGCACATCAGGGAGACCTTGCTGCCCATGCAATAGCATTACGACCGAAGACAGTAGACACTGGTTCCACATTTCAACCATATATGCATAAATTCACTATACTTCATAACCAGGAGCCATGGACCCGTCACAAAGAGCACGCAGCTGCTCACGCACGGCTGACAGCGTCTCTGGGAAGCGGGACCATCACGGCTGGGTAGGCCCCCAGTCATATTCAGCTGACACTACCTGGACACGGCAGACGAGGCCGCTAAATTATTCACGGGGCCGCTGCCGGGACAGGGCGGTGCCGGCAGCGGGACAGAGTGGATAGAGGGAGGGAGGACTGAAGGGAGGATGGCAGAAAGGGAGAAGACGGTAGAAGGCCTGAGTAGAGGAGCGGAGAGAGAGAGGGAGAGAGAGAGAGAAAAAGGGAAGAGAGGAGGAAAAGGAACGAGAAGGGCAGACAGGCAAGTGGAGAGAGAAAAGATAACAGACCTTACCTACTTTCTATTTAAATATTTGTGATGTCATAACTTCCATGAGTTCCATCTAACCATTCCTCTCTCATCTCGTCCAAAATCAGTGCCGTTTAACATGAGTATGAGACAAATGACATGCCGCTACATGCCGTAGCAGCGTTAAATGCTGGCGGCGCCAAATTTATCATGCTAATGCGAGACCCCCATGGATTGTTAGCACCATTTACCAGACATTTGTCAGAAATTAAAGCTCCATGTGAAATTCCCGTCGGCTTCACTTTATCATCTCAAATGAAGCCATATCTACAGCCATGGTTTCAAGACAGATAGGCTGGAGTGCACAGGACTGTATGTACCTGTAGGGTGTTCATTAATGAATGGAATAAAGTAGGTAGGCACCAGAAAGATATATATTCATCTTACATTATCGAATCACACAATGCATTTTCAGGAGGGCTTATCATTTATGATGACATCATCGCGATCACCGCTTGCCACTTGTGTCTCCTACAGGAAGTGCTCAAAGTAACACCTTCGCTGGGCCACGCACGGCTCTGCCCGGCGCTGTGTGTGCCGGACCATCTTCCTCAGCTGCTCCTTGCTTATGTTCTGGCGAAGTCCTCCACGACCTTCTTCAGTTCTTTGATTGTTTCCGGCTCCGATTCCACCACGCGATCCAAAGCTTGGGGCCAGAACGAGAAATCCAGGCCGGACAGGTCGGGACTGTATGCGGGCCGGTGCAGATGGCACTTCCGCGCGAGATCGTTGAACTTCGATCGAGGGAGGCCATGACAGAATTAGGATCTTCAATACCTTTCCAATGGACATCTTAAACTCTTTGCACGCCTTCCGAGCATGAGCTGTGGCATTTTTCCGAAAGAAATCCTTGACCTGTTCCATTTCACCAGGGGTCATCGGCTGGCGCCCGGAGCGCACACATGGCCGTGTCGCTGCAACCATCCTAAATCTTTCCACCAAACGCTGAAAAGCATTCAGATGTGGTATTGCTGCTGGTTTTCTCAGAGATAACTTAAGGCGGAAATCCCGCCTAACCACGGTAAGACTTTCCAACCCGGCACACTTCTCCACAACTCAACCCGCTTGTTCATAATTGAATGGCGAGTTTGTCTTGAAGTGCCGATTTGGGCTCTTCGAAACCAAAGCCATTCACAAGCGTTTGGATGACGCCGTGATTAAAGTTATTATAAAGTTATTATATTAAAGTTATTATATGTATTGAAAAATGATAAGGTCTATGCTTCATATTTACAAGGCAAAAAATGTGCGTACGTGATTTATTGTTATCACGTGACGTAGCTACTTTATTCCATTCATTAATGAACACCCGGTATGTGCTGCATTGCATATGCTGAATGCTGATCCTCTACAGGAGGATAAACAACATTGACATTTTGTAATGACGGTGGTTGGCTACGCAAGGTATTGTGCAGTCGTTTCTGAGCTGCAGTGTTGGCACCACAGCGATTAACCGTTCCACTCTGGCAGAGCGAGAAAAGTAAATGGAGGGAGAAGAGCAAGGCGCTAACCATTAACGACCACAACGGTCGTAGCGACTATCTCACAAACCATACACGTCGCATAAATAAAGTTTTAACTGTCATATAAGCATTTCAAGAAAACACGTGGCTAATTTATCACATTTTCTACATAACTACAGCCGGAATGTGTACAGATGTTTGCTGTAACATTGGGCGTGTCCTGAGGGCTATATGTACTGTGTGAGTATGTATGACTTCTTGGAAGGTTCGGTAAACACTGACATCTTTACATATAATGGCACTTGTTGCTGTAACAATCACGGTAGCATTAATTATTGCAGTGGATGACATCAAATAGTTATAACGTCCACCAGTGGGTCATGATAATGATCCCTATTCCCTACAAATGACATAAATCATGAATGCGTGACAAAACGTCTACTGGTTTTTCGTGATGTACAAACCTCTCCGGTCGCTGGTAGGATGCTCAAAAGAAATCCGCTCTGACAGTGATCCTCAACTCACGCTCCCCTGACAAATGGTTCTCAACCCACCAGGCCTCTGACCAGTGGTTCTCAACTCACCTGCCCCCGGTGCGCGCTCCTGCTCGACTCCCGGCTCCACCGCCCTGCCGTTGGGCTTTCCGCCAGGTCCGGCGCTGCCAGGAGCGGCGATCACGCCGTCTTTGCTGGCGTTACAGCCCATGCTGGCGGCCGGCCATCCAGCCAGGTGGGCAGGTATCTGCCCGGTCAGGGCCAGGGGCAGGGTTAGGGTCAGGGTTGGGGTCAAGATCTGCTTCAGTGTCAGGGTCAGGGGCAGAGAAGAGCGGGATTACTTGTAAACAGGGGTAGCGCCTGATATTAGGGAGGGGTCACTTCTACCGCTGGTGATCGAATTGCAAGTTTATGATGACAGCAAATTAATGACAGTTATAAGTAGAGCGTTATCACATTTGATATAAGCATCCAATATCCAAGAAGCTGGACGGGTGTTGGCCTGCGTGTTTGGTTCCTATGCGTCGGGCTCATGTCGTGGCAATTACTTTTTTTTAAATGTTTTACTTGTACATACATGCTTATGGATATTGATGTGGAAATCTATCACAAACGCAATCTTAATAACTCAAAGCTTGGGTCATTACCACGTAATATTCTGACCTACTGCAACCAGCTTTGTGAGGTTGATCACTTAAAGGGGCCATGCGTTGTTCAAAATTAATGAACTACTGATAATGTGCTGTGTGCAATTTGAATACGGATTTGGAAAATGGCGAAATTAGATACAAGTTCAATATAGTGGAGCTGTATGTGGTTTGAATGCTGCTAAATTTGAGTCTGCTGCTATATGTCCTTTTTGAACTTCAATAAATTACCCCCTAATCAGCCTTCTTTTAGGTAGAAGCTTGGACAATAAGATAATAATTTTCCATCAAATAATGAGCTGTCGTAACTCGTAAGCTGCTGCTTGGGTTGGTATCGAACTTCAGTCAATTTCGTCGCCTTTAAAACGTTCATTAAGCCTCCTCTTCAGTCGGTTGTTGACTGCGCAAGCTGCGCCAACGGCGGTGATTAGGGCCACTAACGAGAGCTACAGCTTCGAGCAGCGACCTCAGCACCCACAGATCAATAGCCCTTACAGCGTTAAACACTGACTGAACAAGCTCGTAAGCCGCGCTAACTGCACGCAGACTAAAAGCCCGACATGGTCGAACCGGTGGCCCGGGTCATCAATTCTGGGTCAACAAGGCACCTGAATTGACGACGCCTGAATTCAGGGTCAACAAGGCCGAGAGGGCACTCAGGGAAGCGAGTCCAACGCTGTATCCATGACCGATGGATATTCTTAGTGAAATATCATTGGCGGTGAAGAAGAGTGACATTGCAAAAACAAAAACAAAATAAGTAGACACGGAGGCTAATGCATAGCTCCAGAAGGCAATGCCATTCCAACAGATTTTTACAGAAGTTAGCTCCTTCTATGACTGAAGGCCATTTTGTTCGTTCTAAACGGCTGTTCTAATGCACCGTACTATTTTCAGAAAACGGCAGGCAGGTGGAAAAGAGAAACTGCTTGGTGAAGTATCTGTCTGCTCCATTCATAACTAACCTCAATAAATAACATTGCAGTTGTTATTCGTGGAAGACGTGCTGGTTGAAAATAAACAAGAAATAATGACTGAAATAAAATATTCCTGCCATCTATCCACCATTGCTCATCGGACAAAAAAAAAAAAAACGGAAAGAAATAGCGTTCCCAAAACTCAATTACAAAGTACCATATCCTTAAGATCTATGTAAATCTGATTCACTGGCAAGGAAATTACAACTTGGCATCAATTCAACCAGGCTTCTCGTCCGAAAATCGTGTATCAAACTGCTGAGTGCTGGGTACACATAAATTTTAGCAGCCAGTGGCCCAGTTGGCGTGAGTTAGCGCCATTATTTCAACGAGTTGAGATTAGGTGGCCCAAAGAAAAGCGTGATGATCATTATTGACGCAGGCACGGCATTTCGTAACTCTGCTGGGAAAACGCTGGCCAGTCGAATTTGACAGGCTACAGAATCGTTCACGATGAAGAAAAGATACAAACAACACGATTAAGGCTAGCACATTTGGAAGGAAAAGTTACAAGCAACGGCTGCATCACATGTTACGTAGCATTTCGGGTATTGCTAGAGAAACATGAGTAAGTAAATGCGTATAACAAGCGCACTTTGTGATTATCTTGGTAATGCACTCGGTTTGTGATACGCAATTACTTTGTGCGTTTATCTGTGATAAATGTGACCTGTTTGTTATTTCTCACCGGATATAGCTTCCTCCTCCAGATGAAATGAGATGGTTTCCTCACAATGCACAAATATTATGATTGGTCACCACTCAGATGGTCACAGCTGAGCCTCTCTGAACACTTCTGAGCCGCCCTGTACTCCCTGAGCCACTCTCCGTCCCCACTGAGCCGCTCTCCGTCCCCACTGAGCCGCTCTCCTCCCCTCTGAGCCTCCGCGGCCCCCTGAGCGTCTCGTTCCGCGGTCCCCCGGGCGGCCGTCGCTGCTGTCCCGTCCCGGCACGGCCGCACACTGTGTCTCACTGCACGCTGCCGGCGGCCTGTGTGCTGCACGCGACCGACAGCCCGACCGCCGCCGCCGCCGCCGCCGCCGCCGCCGCCTGATGGTACGTCACCGGGCGCGGTGCGTGCCGCCGGCACCTGGCGGGGGCGGGGGCGGGGGCGGCGGATCAGTGGCGGCCCGCCCGGACCGCCCGGACACGCCCGTGACCGATCTGCCGTACCGAGGACAGGCTGGAATGCTTGATGGTTTCTTGGTATGGTGCATAGAGTGTATGTGCATGGTGCAATAGTGCACGTTCTGGGGTATTGATCCGGCAGTGCTGCAAGGGCTGCGGAATGTGGAGTTTTCCGTCTGCTTTTAGTGGACGCTCTACCTACGTCATTATGTGGATCGATTGGACGGTGCCCCATGGGATCTGCGCTGTATGCAATTGGGAGTCTATTGAGGACTTATTCGTCATGTTTATTGACGCATAATAGACGTAATTGACATAGTTCCAATACACAACACATTCACACTGGCGCACCAGCACGCATTAACAGCAATAATAAACAAATGCACTCGGCGCAAACACTCTGAAAGGACTGTTCGAGCAGCCATGCCCTATCAACTAATTCGATCGCTGTTTGTTTTAACACAGCATTGGTGTGCCTTTACCAAAAAGATGATGTGGAACCTCGTGCATAATGTGTCGCTGTCTTGAACTAGCATGCAGCTCAGGCTAATGTTGATGATCAAGACCTCTCAATACGCAGGGACATTAACCGAAAACTTACGCAGGTATATCATTACGTGAATTCTATAATTGTAGGTATAGGCTAGCATCATGTCTAGCAGTAATTGCAGTGTTTTTGAGAACCCTCAATTTAACATCCACCGACTGACACTGAGGACTGGTATTACGCTGAGCGTTCCTACGACGAGTGACATGCTATTGATCTTTCATCATTACATTGAAACCCCGACTCATCATTACTTTACTTCTTCCTGAGCCGTTTGTTTAGCCTCCATGGCACGAGCGAGAAAATACACCAAGGTGCAGGTGTGTAACGTACATAGATTGCACGTGCATTATAGATAGCTGGAACGGTAGGGCAAATATACGGCGGGTGCGAAATTCACAGGCCAGATTCTGGATGATAAAGACTCAGACCTCCATGCATCAAACGAAATGGAGGAAAATTTAACCAATGCTTAAGATATGAAATGCTTGTAAAAAGTCATGTAAATATCAATAGCTTGTTATGACATGTATCAATAGCATGTGCATAATTACGTAGTGTTGACATGTATCAATAGCATGTCAACACTACGTAACAACCAATGTAAATACGAGAAAATGCTTCGGGCAGTGCTGTTTAGTAAGACCATCATGAGAAATGCTAACAATCATTGTATTTCCACTTGTTACGAGTACAAAATCAGCGTGACCGTCTGCTGTGCCCTGATCACCGCAGCCGAGCAGCCATCTTATACCAAGTAGGAGACGCGTTTCAATCCAGGCTCAATAAATATTCCATCTGCTGGCCGCTCCGATTCATCGAACACCGACGTGCCTCGCATTGCTATGGTGATATCACTGATATATGGCTCCAGCCAGGTTGCATGGATGCTTCGAGATTCACTTGATAGGTTTTGCGTTTCCGCAGCATTTTATGACTAGCAGAAAATGCACATTCTTTTTATCAAAACTGAGATTAGAGATAACCGTGAGTAAATATCCTGTGAGTAACAGGATGGGATACATTTTCGTATGTACAGGTTTTCTGGGGGTTTTTAGACATCATCCGAATCGTACATTTTGCCCGCAGGCGGCTACTTCGCAGTCATTATTTCACCATCATATCATCCTGATGAGGCCGTTCCCCCTCCTCTCTCTCTCCCCGCCACCTCTCTCTCTCTCTCTCCTTGCGACCTATGCCCAGGAGAGGGCCCGCCCGGCTCCAAAACGCCCTCATCAGCCCCTCCTAGCGCGGTCAATCAGCTGTAAGACCAGCCGAGTAGGCCGGCTCAGCGTAAGGTCTCCGGGGACGGGGCGGAGGGAGTGGGGAGAGGCGCCTGATCTCTCCATTACACCCCCCCCCCCTCCCACTCCGGCCCGAGACGGACGCCAGCTCAGGTCAGACGAGCATCCAGCGAGTCGAGCAGGGCGCCGTTTGAGGTGAGGGCAAGTGCTGGGCGAGAAACTAGACTGGCATTGCTGGAAGAGAGCTCTGTAGCGAGTCAGGAAACTCAGCTTCGCGGACGATGAAATGAAATGGCGAAAGTCGTGCCGGCAGGAGCCCCCCGCGACGCTGATGGAATTAACTTGGCCCGCTGATGCTTGGCAAACATCGTGCGAGCTCCGCGTCAGTTTGTGGTAATATGAACTGTCAGGGTCGAGTTCTCTTCTGAAATTAAGTCCTGGACATTGAACCGAAACGTAGCTATACGAAAAGGTGTCTCCATCTTCAGCGCATGCTGCCTTGCTTTATACCAGAACACATGTGGTCACAAAAAATGTGGGTAGCTGAAATTACCGGCCAGACTTAATGGGCACCTTCCAATTATGAGAGTATCTATTTTGATCACCTGCCGCCCCACCTCGGAATAATCTCCAGCCTAGCCGAAGGTTGGCCGTCACAAACTGCGCCTGAAACATACTGTGCCGCAAGACAATTGTCAACGACAGTCGTTTCCGTTAGATATCAGCGTACGCATTGCGCCTGTTGCATGCTGTGCCGCATGGGCAACGCAGTTCCTAACCCAACCGCTACATGTCAGACACGCACGACGCCTGATGCATGCTGTGCCGCCTGACTCATGTAGTTCCTATCACAGCCACTAGATGTCAGGCACGCATGACGCCTGATGCATGCTGTGCCGCATGACTCATGTAGTTCCTATCACAGCCGCTAGATGTCCGGCACGCATGACGCCTGATGCATGCTGTGCCGCATGACTCATGTAGCTCCTACAGCCGCTAGATGTCAGGCACGCATGACGCCTGATTCATGCTGTGCCGCAAGACTCGAACATAGTTCTTATCCCAGCCGCTAGATGTTGGGCGCGTATTACGCCTGCTTCCCTGCTGTGCCGCAAGACTCGAACCTAGTTCCTATCCCAGCCGCTAGATGTCGGGCGCGTATTACGCCTGGTTCCCTGCTGTGCCGCAAGGCTCGCGCAGTGCCCGTTTCAGCTGCCAGGCTTGTGATGCATCGCTTGCGCGATATCTCCAATCTGAGAATCATCGATCATTTCGATGAATACACCGTTGTTATGTTAGTTACGGTTTGCAAGCATTGAGTGACTTCTGACCCAGAGAAGGGAAAACGGAAGGGATTTGTTTGGGCTGACGTGCAATAGGAAGTAGGTAGGTATAAATTGTTTCAGTCGTCGTCTACGGCCTGTGTCGACCATTGCCAATTTAGAAAAGTGTTACCAGTCTTTCTTATGAGTGTTGCCCTTTCCAATTAACATCGTATCGACTACCAGGAACCATGTAGCGCATCGTCCTGCCGTCCTGCCATCCATTATGGGTTGTTTCTCGTGCCGAAAATCGACATGTAGCAGGTGCGGCTGTTTGCTCTTGACAAACATACACAGCATTAGCCGCCATGGTCGCTGGGGCGACGGCGGTGACGGCGCCGGTGGAAGCCGCAGAGGCTCGCGCCGCTGGGTCGATGGCCGCGGTCCCATTGTCAGTGGTCCGTCCGGGGTCTGTACCGGCGGCCAGATACGCCCCTGGACACTGTCTACCGTACGACACGGATTGATGTGCGGCCGTGAGCAGCGAGCTTCACTATACAGTATACTGTATGGGTAGCGTGAGTGAGGCGGCACGAGCCGCGGTGCAGGACGGTGAATGGAACTGCGGGAGGCCTGGGAACTTGTGTATGGGCCACACACGTGCCCCTTGCTACTGGCGAAATGAGTTATGGCGCTCGGGACACCAGGCTCTGACTCGAACTCTAGAATAGCCATGTTATGATGGATGAGTTTTCAAGTGTCAATACAATACAATACAATACAATACAGGCGCCATGTGATGGTAATCAATTCGCTTCATATGAACGGTGGGCATGAATTATGTTGTGGTCGCTTTTAGAATCAGCTAAAAAAGGCTGCGTAAAACTATTACCTATTTTCTTTCTACAAAAAAAAATATTTTCTGCATTGTTACTGCTTCTTGCTAGAAACATATGCCGTAAAAATAAAGGATTACGTAATGTATGTTTATTCGGTTACGTTTTGAAGTTGTTTTTTCATAATACATCAAAATTGATTGACTGCATTGCTCCTGACCGTTCCAACGTATTAGTGAAGTTTGTTCAACCAAAGTGGTAAAAACTGGCGGCAACTCATCGCCCAGCGTCCGTCCCTGCTGTCTGTCGTGCAAGAAGTATCTAAAAAGAGCTGCTGTCCTGAGGGTCCCACGGCCGGCCTGCACGGCAGATTAAAATGCATAGCGCCAGGCCGCGGCATAATTGGTGAGATTGCTTCCCACGAACTGGGCCATCCATCAGTGGCGGGGCACAGCCGCGGCCGCAGCTGCTGTATGTATATCCCTGGGAGGGAAGCCAGGGGAGCAGCCGGGAATTTCATCAGGAGGGGCAAAAATCACTGACGTCATACCTGTCTGAAGAAATTAAGTCGTTAGTTATGTATACCTATGTATTACCTACCGATATGCACCAATCGATTATTTAAAGTGCGACAGCATGCTTTACGTAAGCAGTATTACTGTTAACAGTTCTTGTGGTGTGTTTTCCTTATTTCATCGAGCTAAAATCATCACCATTGGGAAAGTTTAAAAAGAGGAAACGTTAAAACCTAATGTGCGAACGAATGTCTAAAATTTGCAAATGTCTCACAATCCATAATGTTTCAAACACCGATACGCTATGCGACCACCAGTAGCGCCCTATATTTCAGCGTATAGGTGATGGCATATGCCGGGTTAAATAAGTTCATGAATATTTACTTTTAATGTCATGCAGCGTTGAAACATTGACATACGAGTACGTAGGTATAACGTGACGTTTTCCGTGAAGTCAAATGTTTGACCTTTGACCTTTGATTATTTTGAGTATGTGTTCTAACTTGTGAGTCTTTCCAACAACATACCTACACATTTTTGAGCCGTAGAATCCACAAGTCTGTAAATTATTGGTCTTCGAGTTCCTCGGTGCCTTGCTCGGTGCCGACCGTGCGGCCAAACAATGGCCTGCATAGGTAGACTAACCCGCCGGACACGCATGTGATACGGTGCAGCATACCACGGTGCAGCGATATGTTCAGCTGGGCACGGCAAACGCGCGATGTGATGCTGCACTACTCAGGGTACCGCTTACAACTAACTTGGGAAAAGGGAAGATGAACGTTTAGTTTTGTCTGCGGATGATCATTTTGAAACACAACGCATCACCTGCATGGTATGCTAGAAACTGGAAAGTTAGAGACATTCAATCAGCGTTCTCCATCCAGAGCCTCCCGTTCCGACCTGCTGCCTTCGGGCGACAAATGACAATGCTATCAGAATCCCATTCTGCCTCATCTTCTACCCAGTACCCATCACATGCCATGTCACCTCTCGCGCTCTGTGCCGGTGAGATTTGGGCCCGGTGTGGCGTGCCGCTGACGCTGTATTTCTCCTTCTGTGGCGGTCTCCCGCCAGCGGCGACAGCTCCGACGCCCGGCCGCCGAGCGGACGACAAACGGTGGACGTTATTGGACAAGTCGGCGGCAGCTGGCTGCGGTCGGCAGCCGCCACTGTTTGCAGAGTGGTCGCCGTGATGGGGCCGAGGGTCACGGTGACCCGCCAGGTTCGGTGCGGGGCCCGCTATACGGGAGAGTCATAGAGGATGAACTGTCAATCAGCCGGCAGTCGAGTTCGGTAACGCGCCAGAACTATGGACTACGGAGAGATGCTTCGAATTCGATAGACTGGAAGTGGAAAGTACAGGCGAGGTATTATTGAAACAGTTGTCGGACTATGACCAAACCAGTGATTGTGGTTTATCAGCATGTGGCTATTGTTTGTAATTGTGCAGAGTAAAATAATTTGTCTATTTTTCCAAAGATCTTAAAGATTTGACCACTCGCCGTTCAATTTTGCATAAAAGTTCCTCAATTCCTGATCACTATTTTATAGCCTTCACACGGTCGAAACACATTTATTCGAAATTCGAACAAAGGCAATATATTTTACGGGAAAAGACAAATGGGCATGCGACACTAGACGTGAAAATTGCCCAGAAAGCGACTTATATTGGAGCCTTGTCGCCCCGTTTGCGAATGGCGACAACTTTTTAAAGGCTGACAACGATAAATGACGCCATTGTCGCTGTCGAACTCAATATTGGCGATAGAAAACGATAATACTTAATGTCAACAGACGTGTCAACTGATATTTTAGTTACACCAACTAGCGCGAGTAGTTGAAAACAAAACTTTTACATGACGATGCTGCGGCGATCAGAAATTTCAAGCAAGGCTGGTTAGAGTGGTTATCGACCAGAACATTTCGATTGCTGCTTTTCGGATTAAGCTAACATGAGCTGCATGTTGTCTTCTTCAGTGTGGTCTTACGTGGTGACGGATAGTCCAGCAACTTAAAAGCGGACATACCAGTCCAGTCCATAACAGACTAGCACACTTACCCAACCCAACACTTACCCAACCCACTAACGTTTCGTCGACCGACAGTCTCTGGTGGGCCAGCATACATATAGCAGCCCAGCATACCAGCCCCTCATGGACGGACAGCGCTGTCCGATTTCGGGCTCGGAGCCGTACCTAAGCCCCGCCGAGCCCGGCGATCGAGGTCAGGTGTAATAGCCCTCTCATGGGTCGTACGATCGCCCTGAAGCTATATTGGGATGGACGCAGCAGCGCCAGCCCCGTCCGGTCCGGTATGCTAGACCAGGAATTGTGTGACTTCGGATCAACTGATGGCTAAATATTTGGCCTTTGTGCAGAGGAGATCAAAGCGAATGTTTAGGAATGGCCTCATTGCATTTGAGTGTCAATGCATACACTCAATCTGATCGGAACGATAAGTCAATGACAAATCTAAACCAAGAGAGACTGAGAGGGAGCGAGAGCATGAGACTGAATGTAGCGAGATGATGAGGAGCCTAGAGCTCTAGTGCGCCACCGAAAAAAAAAAGACGACCACTTTAAATTCAAGGACCGGCCAAAGTGAAGCCAAGCAAAAATTTCATGAATATCTAATATTGCCTTGCAACTTTGCGTCATTTTCTTTGAAACGAAATGGCCATAAACCTGCAACTCCTCGAGCTGGCACGAATTCCGCTCCAAAGTTATCCGTTATTCGCCTCCCGGACCCAGTGATATCTCCCTCTCTCCCTCCCCGTTTATCTCATCTGTCGTATCATCCCCTCCCGCTGCTCCGACGCACTGCATTGAGCGGGGAGCGCAGCGCCCACCGGTGTCCCTCTAATGCATCTCCGCGCCGCCGGCGAGCGAACACGGTCTTCCACTCTGTCCAGGGACAGCCACCCTTCTCAGACAGATGATCAGCGGAGCTGCCGACTGACGCATCGCGCGCACATCGCCCAGAGAGGCAGATTAATGGGTGTCACTCACAGTGCCGCTATCCACAGAGCGGTATAGTTTAGACAGCGACGGTTTATTGAATGCGGAAGATAAGCCGGAAAAAGAAAAATGTTCAGTCACGTGTATACCAGTGCCCGAGGTGACTAGTTACGGCGCAATATTGGCTGTTTGATGTTTGAATTCAGTCGGCGCAGTTATGCTAACCAGGTTTTCATTCAGGAGCAGGATTCGGATGAATCCGGAGAAGCGTTTGTGTTTTATTTTTGTACGTCCGCGATGCAATCTGCTGATCAGTTCAACTAAACACAATTTATATCAGTTATCCATATTTATTGTCATCGTTTCAAATCGAGGTTCCCGTGCAGTTAAAGACACAACGCTATAGCGTACAGACAGACAGACTGTGACGTAGATGCCCGACCTCTGATTTACCAGGTAACACTTCGGTGTCACATTCCATAATTGGAACACAAAATAACGGCATACGAGCAATAAGACTCTCTCTCGGCGGATCTAAAAACGCCAAATGCGATAAGTTAGCGAACAGGAACAGGAAAAGCAAACTCCCGGCACGGCGCGGCTCGGCCCCGCACGCCGGCCCTAGCAGCGGCCGGTAAGACGCCAAGCTCGCTTACCTAGGCAGCGTAGAGACCAACTATCGCACGCGCACGCAGTTTTGAACGCCATGATATGCGTTGCCATAGCAACGACACTGCTATTCTCTGCACGCCACGCCCTAGTTCGCCAGCCCAGAACGGCAGCTTCCGCAAGCATCAAGCACCAACGCACGATTCTATCGACTGAGGGTGAACACACATCGTGCCTCTGATGACGACACATAACACTATGCCACAATCAGTTACGATGGCACCGAGCTCGATAGTCTCATCATATTCACTGCTACACTAACAGCGCCCGGATCCTCGCTTTACTCCATAGATCTTAAGCGTATTTTTTGACAGATACAACGACGAGATTTCGGCCGATACATATAGGACCTTGCCAATTTGCTACTATAATCAATATTTTTGTTTATCACCCAAAACACCCACCACCTAGTATGCCTCTCGATTCAACATTTAGGAATGCACTCACACAAGGCTGACCTCCTGAGCGAAACCCGTTCACTCTTTCTCCCGCTCGGCCAATGACTCTCGCTCTACCCGCTATACCTACTACCTCTCCATAAGACCGGCTCCTTACCCTTCCTCACGTCTCTGTCTCGCGACTCGCGCTTCTACTTCATCTCAGCGCGGAACTCTACGATAGCCGACTGACCCCCCCCCCAAGCGCGGTCACCCCCCCCCTCCCCCCTCATCCATCTCCAACCATTACCACTCCGGGCACGCATATAATCTATATCCTCCTACCAGCCACTCAATCTTCCGGGCCAGCCCAGCAGTACCTTCTCGACACCAAACCCCTCGTCGGAGCGGGCCCCGCCGACTCCGCACCTCGCCCTGGCCTGGCACGGCCGCTCAGAAGCCGCAGTGATAGATCCGAAAGCCCACAGTCACGGCGCAGAGGCCGACGCGCGGTGTCTACTCTAGAGCCGCCCGGGCAGCGAAGGCGGTGACCTCTCCAGAACGCACGGTGCTACAGCTACAGTGATCCCAGTCGCTCTAATATCACCAGAACTCTTCTCTCGTGACGCAATTATCACCCAATTCAAACTGTCTCTGTAAACATCAGCACGGTGCGCTAATTGCCTCAAAGGGGTAGCTGTCATGCATTCTATCCCACCCAACAAATTAACGCACCATTCGCCAATGTCCTTCCAATCACAACCCTATCTTCATTCCCCGCATCATCGGCGTTTCTTCTTTCCCCTGCGTTTGGTGACGGTGACCGTCGGCCGTTCCTCGTCGCTAGTTTTATCGGCCCGCTCGCGGTCACTGGCCGAGCGCGAGCTGCTGTCTGCGGCCAGGTCGGGACACAGGATATCGTCGCCCCAGCCGGACTCCTGTTCCCGCTCGCGGTCGTACACCTGCTCGCCGCCCTCGAAGCCGCAGCTGGGCTGGCGCTCGAGGGGGCGCGGCACCGGCGGCGGCGGGGACGAGTCGTCGTCACTGGAGCGGGCCGTATGGAACTCGTGTGCCGCCGGAGAGTCCTCGCCGTCGCTCAGTGGCGGCGGTGACGGGTCGCGGGGCCGCGGCGGCAGCGGCGGCGGCCGGCGGCGCGGCGGCGCCGGCTCCGGCCAGTCCTCGGCCGGGGGTGGCGGCGAGTCCGGCTCCTCGCTCTCCTCCCGAGGAACCCCGGACGGCGGCGGCGGCAGCGGCTCGTCCAGCAGGTGCGGCTGCAGCGGCGGCGCCGGCGCGTCCCGCTCGTACTCGGAGAAGTCGAGCGGCGAGCCGCCCCGCTCCGGGGAGAGGCGCACGTCCACGCTGCTGCTGGAGGCGGAGCTGCGGGCCGAGTCGCTGCGGCGGCGGCGCCGGCGGCGACTGCAGTCTGTCGGGGAGAGAGGGCGGTCAGTGGGGGACAGGGTGCAGTCAGTGGGATGAGGGATACAGCCTGGGGGACAGGTGCGTTCAGGTGCAGACAAATGTGCAGTTAGCGGGAGGCAGTTGCACCCACAAAAGTAACAAAAATCTGCAACATAAATACAACAAAACATCGATCCCTCAATTTTCAGCCTCCACACTACAACGCACCACACCAATTTTGCACATTACTCGCATCATACCACCGCAAACGGGAGCGCTGGCGCCTTTGGGAGCACGGGATGGCCCATATTCCGGCAGTCAATGTCCTACCGACCCAGCTGGCCCCGGCACCGAATAACCGCTAATGCCCCCGCGAGCGACCTTCCAATATCGGGCCGACTATTTATCGTACGGCGCACGGCGTGCGGTCAGGCCGGCCGGCAGGGAATACGGCCGACGCGCAGTAGGTACGCTGGAGGCCGGCGTTGTGCTGCGCCCCACAGCGGAGTAGGAACCCTCGTTCCTCCCAACTAGGTGAGGATTAGTTCCTTTTTTCCGATATTGGTGTTGACCTCATAGTTTTGTTTCCAATGATTGGTGATCTATAATTCCGTTTAGCTGTTATTTACAAATCTGTCAATGTTCATCCCACATGTGCGCGCAATGGCAGCCACCGTTTCTCCCATTAAAACTGATGCCGGTAGCCGGAGAAAGGACAGCACCAGCTGCGCAGAGGTGCAGCAAACTTTACCGCACGTTTCTACACAAATATCAATTTCCTGGCAGCAATGCACGTGAAATACAACATCTAGAACAATCTAGAATGAGAAAATACGTGCGCGGCTCGTGACGTTAAGCCGCTACACTCGCCGTCACGGGATGCCATTCGACGTGAGCTAACGCCGCGTTATGCTGCAATTGACGGCGGTGAAATTTTCCGCGTCAGCGAATACCATCGTCAGCCCGTCGTAGCGCTGTCACTGAGAGTCGTTCCAGTGAGCCATGTGGGCGGACACAGGGCTCCGGAGGCCGCCACTGGTGTGGGCGTTCACGATTCACGGCCGTTCACGATGTCATCAGGAGCAATGGACGGTGATCGGTGACCGGTCAGGGTGACGTGAATGACCGGCTAACCGGGCGATCGACGGAGGCGACAGTGCCAGGGGGAGGTGACACAATGTTGGACGTGTAACGACACCGGCGGGAAAGACAGTCCCTTTAGAACCACCAGCAGACACTGATATCTCTCTCGGCTACCGGTCTCCACCACCCGTTTCCTCCGTCGTTCTGTCCTCTGTACCGCGGCCTCCTCAGGTCGCTGGACCGGCCAGCTGGCCTGTGCACAGCTGGCTGGGCCCGGCAGGCCGCGTCCCCACCGCCCAGCTGTGGTCGAGTGCACCACTACCGCCGCTCTGTCGTCTGGGTGCTTCCTACACTCTGCTCTTTGCCTGTCTCCTTCCCTCCGAAATCTGCTTATTCTCCGTCTACCGGGCGTACCGTGGTCTACCCTTAAGGTGTCTCCTCCGCTCCGTCTCAGAAACTCTAACCCTAGAGCCAACTTCCTCTTTCTCTTAGACATTCCAACGTCTGTTGTCTCCATTCGTTTGACATCTGACATCGTTTCCTCAGTTGCCTCCATTCCTCTGGCCTACGAACGTCCATGCCTTTCTGATGTCTCCTCCACTCCTCCCTGCGGCATTCCGTCCCCTCAGTCCTCCATCCCTCTGTCTCTCAGTCGCTCCGCCCCTCTCCCCCACGGTGACCGGTCGCCCTCTCCGCGCCCCGGTGCAGTCGTGTGTGTCAGTCTGTTCGTGTGTGCAGGGAACGGGAAGGCACGGGTATCGACCCCGTGTTCTGGCCAACTGAGTGGAATATACTGACCGCAGCGGGGGCACCATCAGGGCCTCGGCCGTCGTGTGGCCTCCCTCCGGTCACTGAGCGATGGACTCGCACCAGCCTCATCTCGGGAGAACGCACAACATGCCGTCTCAGAGAGAGGAATTCGCGCGAAACTGCAATTAGGTAACGCACTTGGCGTTTGTGTTTAATTAACGTCACGTTCGATACATTGATTTTCGCAGAGCGTCTGGGCTTCAGAGAAGCAAAACAAGTCGCGGTGGGACACTGGGTCGGCCGCCTGCTGAATACGCCAGCTGCGTGCCGGCGCACGGCGAACCTCGGGGGACACGTGATAGGAATACGCCAATCAGGGCTGTTTTCTGTATCGCGAGTTAGCAGGAATCTGAACACCAACCGCCCTGAGTTATGATATTTATTGGCGTTCGCGGAAGCTTCAGGGGCGCAATGCCAGCAATAGGCGGTGACTGCTTCCTCTGAACGGGCCAGACAGGCGACGGAACATTAGGAAACAGGTGGTTTTCAAGCACGTTTCACGATTGACATTGAGCCTAATGCTGATAGGACGATATCATGAAAAGTACGTACGTGTAAGTACGATACGTGAAAAAGTACGCTATCTGTTCAAAGCAGTGTAGCAGTTTTGAAGATCACGGTATTGGATGATGACTCTAAATACAACAGATTAAGCTAAGAAATACGTGGGCTATAAAAGTCTGAGCTAACTCTGTCACTTAAAGGAAATAGTTCACTTTTAACATGGGGTTTTGAGCTGGAATAGCAGTTTCGTAGCTTGAGCTGAGACTAGCACAAATCAGAAGCTTTTAAGGCTCAATGATCACCCTAGACGAAGATATTCCATTTCTCGTTCCGAAAAGAGTGCCTTGCAGAGAAATGTGTGCCTTGCACAGGAATGCAGCCACGTCATCGTCAGCCAATCAGCATGCTGCTTACAGCCAATGCAGTATGCGTAGGTTTGAACTACGCGATATGATTGGTCAACGCGTAATAAGCTTCCGCGTCAAACATTATTTTACATAGAATATAGTTCGTCCTATATTAGAATATAGAAAAAAAATTGTTTTTGCAAAAAGGTTTTATTTTATTTCATGATCATTTTGAGCATAAAAAAAATCATAAATCAATAGCAAAATACTAATTGCAGGAAAGTGAACTGTTTCCTTTAACCCGCGCCCCGCTGGGGGGGCAGAATCTGCCCCCCCTCCCGTTTTTCGCCAATAACTTCTAAACGCGTTACGCCAGCGACGTCAAACTTTCAGTACCTTATCATACATCAATTTGACACGTTCCCTGAAAATTTGAGCGAAATCCGTCGGAAAATTTTTGAGAAATTGACGTTTTAGTGACGTCATGTTCGCCATTTTCGCCTCAAAAACGGCAAAATTTCAAACGCCGCTAACATCTTCATTTTTAAGGGAATCAAGACGTAACAAAAAAGGTTATACGTGATTCTACTTTGTCTATCAAATGGCTATCTCGGTTTTTTGAAAATTTTGGATTTTGGCCAAATTTTTTCAAAAAAACTGACTTTTTTGGGAAAATATTTATAAAATCCAAAATTTTGAGTTTATCGAAAAAACCGGAATATATGTCAAAGAAGTGGTCTATGTGCACCTACATACCAATTTTTAGAAGAATCGGTTCAAAAATGTGGGAGTTATTCAAAATTTTATGACGTCACGACACACAAAATTTTTGAAAAATGATTTTTTTGGAAGTTCTAGACCTCGTACGGAAACAAAAATAGCACCATTCGATTCGCCGTGAAAAACTGCATCGGATAGACACCTTTTTAGGCCTTAACAATCAACTTCAAAATTTGACCTCACTTGACCTGACCTTGACCTGACCTCGACCTGAAATTCATCCAGAGGTGGTCCATATCACTTATTGAGTGTGCCTATTGAATTCCATGAGTAAAATGACCCATAAAACATGTGTCGCACATGCCCTTTTCTATATTTTGTTTTTGGTGACCTGACCTGACCTGACCTGACCTTGAATTTGACCTTTGAATGACATTGTGTGCAACGAATATTGTCTTGGTAGTCTAAGAACACGTTTTGGGCAATCAGTCTCAGTCCATTCTTCGGCAACTACGGTGCAAGGCCGATACTGTAGAAACTTGCATTTTGTACCCTTGACCTGACCTTGACCTGACCTCTGACCTACTTAAGCAAAAAAATTTGGGCTCTTAAGATCCGCCTTGTTGAGAGCTTTCGATTGCCGTTTTCCCCGTCTTTCTACGACCATCGGTTCGGAAGTTAGACAGGGGGGGGGGCAGAATCTGCCCCCCCCCCCCCAGCAGGGCGCGTATGGCTGAATAGCCCAGCGGGGCGCGGGTTAAGACCGTTATGCGGTGCACCGTCGCTCGTTCAATGCGCAGCACACTGTACTCAGAATATGCCTTCCCATAGCGGCAGACCTCTTAACTCAGAGCAATTCCGACCCCGCTCAGGTTCTGCCAGTCAGTACCCCCTCTGAGCTGAGAGGATGGACTCGGCCTTCAGTGGCGAGCCTGGTTTATCACCAACTGCAGAGAGACCATCCCCCGTCTGGCACAAACGGAGATGAAGTCGGCTACCTGCCGGCGCCGTGATGGACCGGTAATCTCCGTCCAGAGGCAGTTGTGAGACGGCTGGGAGTCAGACTGTCCATCGCTGTCGAAATCCCGACTAAATGGAGGTGGGCTGCCGTCTAAAGATGAAACTGAAACTGGATATTCTACGGCATCCACATTCCAAGTACGGAAGTGTGACTGCTGAAAGTAGAATTGTCCGCCATAATCCACATTCCACTTAAGACAGGGCGTGGTCTCGACAGTGGAACTGTCCACTACCATCCACATTTCGCCCAGGACAGCGACTGGACACATTTGGAGGTGGAACTGTCCATCATCCACCTACAGACCAGTCCACTGTCACGGACCAGTCCAGTCCACTGCCACGGACCAGTCCACTGACACGCGGACTACAGTCCGACATCAGAACAATAGCCCAGCAGGGCCAGTCCATCCAGTCCAGTCCGTCCGTCCGTCCGTCCGTCCGTCCGTCCGTCCGTCCGTCCGTCCGTCCGTCCGTCCGTCCGTCCGTCCGTCCGTCCGTCCGTCCATCCGTCCGTCCGTCCGTCCGTCCATCCGTACAATGGGGCGGCTCGATCCGACGCGGCAGGAGTGGGCAATCGTGGGCAGGAAATTGGCCGCCCCGTCACCGCCTGCCACCGATAGAAAGTAGCCATGCGGCAGCTGACACCGATAGAGAGTGTCATCAGTGGCTGACACCGACAGTGTCCACCGACTGACACAGAAAGATGGTGTCCATCAGTGGCTAACCCGGCAGTGTCCACCGACAGCTGACACCAACAGAGTGACTAACACCACCGACTGACACCGACATAGACTGTCATCAGTAACTGACATTGGCAGTGTCACCAACCAGCTGACACCGATAGTGTTCATCGGCTGACACCGACAGAAAGTGTCTACCGGCAGCAGACACCACCAGAAAGTGCCATTAACTCAATATGACCTACGAGTATACCATTGAAGCTTCAATAGTATGCAGGTGCTAGCCTAATAACACTTGTATCACACTTATCTGCAAGAAAGAACCCAAATGGAGAGAAACGCCCCAAGCCTCTACCTCAGATCTCCCGAAGACCTGAGAGCGAGTGTTGTTTTTCAAGCTTCCTCTGGAACTTCTGTGATTAAGAAGTAACTTTCCTGAATTGGATTCAATCGAGGCGTCTAATAAAACACTCCGCCGGTGAATGCAGTTAGAAACTTCTCTCAACAAAGCTCGATTTCCTTGAAAGTGTTGCTGATGTGGTCTCTGGAGAGTCTATAATGAACACAAAGGCGAACAACATTAAACAATCGTCATCGCAGGGCACCTGCTACACACGTGACGTCATCGGTCTGTCCAATATGACGTCATCGAACGTCATCGTGGGTCTAAGATCGGATTTCCGTTATAAAACTTATTGTTGATCGACTGACCGGTCAGGATTACCGTTTAACGGTGCCAGTGAGGAAATTGAAGGGCGGGACCCAGCCGATAACCGGGGTCCGTGCCTGCTGGTAGCACAAAGCCAATTATAGATAACGGGTGACATATGGACGCCGTTAAAGCGGGACCCCGCTGCGGACCCATAAATAGGACGCCGTGCAGCGTCGCGGCCCGCCGGCCGGCCGGGACGCCCAGCCGTATAAATCATGATCGAATTCGACAGAGCAGTGTTCGGCCAGTGGCATCGGCCAATGCGCCCGGTTCTTCGGTACTACGACATAAAAACGCCGTAAAACTCCCGGAAGTAGCATCTCGTCGCAATCTGAATTTTACAACAGAGTTCTCGCGACAAGTTTAAGTTCATAAATTTATATAATAAAAAAGAAATCAGATCGCTTGTAACTAAGGCACAAATGAATTTATGATGAGGGAGTAAGGCCTGGCTGTATCTGGCTCCAGTGTCCATGATGTAGGGGGTCGTGTGTCTTCGGGTCGGCCGCTTGGTCCATAAATCCGGTCATTGGGGCCAACTTGGAGAACTATGAGCTCCAGGGAGCCGTAATTCAGGAAGGAAGCTAATGCATGTCCCAGGTGCACGGCCAAGCCTCCGAGGGAAACCTTCGTTCGTTAAGAAGTTCGTGGAATGAGGAAAGATAACCAACAACGCCCGGCGAAGCAGCGACATCCCCTCATGAAAAAAAAAAATAAATAGCTAACGAAGTGTTATGCAAAGCTGGTCTAGAATAACCACAGTCCAATTCAACCGAACTCATATCTAAATGAATTTGCCAAACAATGATGCATGGACTAAAATCGAAATAGATGTCCCACAATGGACACAAGTGTAGTACCAACGCCTCAACGGTAATTCAACTTACAAAAGCCCAGCGCTGATCCACAAACCTGCCACACCTGCTGGGTAATTCATGTGTCAGTTACCCAACCCATCTCGCTGACATCTCCCCGGTGCGATATCTCTCGCCCATCTCCCACACCCGTCATCTCTCTCCGGTGACCGCCCCGTGAGAGTCTTACCGTCGAGCACGGTCGGCGGTCCCAGGTCCGACATGGCCTCGGCGATCCTCTGACAGAGCTGCGACTCGTGCCGGTCACTGTCCGTGTCCAAGGCGTCAATCAGACGCGGCGACTGCTCGTAACTGTCTGAAAGAGGGAACACAGAGGGGATCAGTGAGGTCAGAACACACATAACCAGAACACACAGGCAGCGCACATTGACCAAAATGCGCGGACGCAAAGATTCAGAAAAGAAAGAATGCATGGACATGGCACAGTGGTAGAACCACGAGGTCAGGATAGACATAGAATGACTATAGCGTTGCGGTGTTTGTTGATCGGTCACTAGGCTAAATAGTGGCACCAATGGTACACACTGTAAGTTGAGGTCCCAGCATTACTCGTGGTCTGAATGCGATAATAGGTTCCCTTTGAGGCTGTCGTCCAATTGACAGGCCAGAGTTCGGCAAGTATTCAGCAGTCCATCATTCAGGGCTATCAACCCTCACTTGGCCCATGGACAGTCTATAGCGGCATAAGTCCGAAGACAAGCAAGCAAAATATTGACAAGTCTACATCCAATCATTCTACGCTACACGCAAAGCACGTAGAGTAAACCGCTCCTCAAGAAAACAAATTGAAACTATTCCTCCCCCATCCGCTACTTCAATGAATAAGTGACCTGTCTATTTCACGTAACTGGCCTCTTCTCGCCTTCAAAGGGGAAAAGATTGCACCAACGATCCATCTCCCCTAAGCAGCCTTTCTAATAGAGACCCATCTCGTTGACCCAGGTGACCCTCCTCCCACCGGGCGAAGGTAACGACCCACCCACCGAGCCCCGATGAGATAACGGCTCAGTCTACACGCCCTAACGACCGCCGCCAGCGGCCGTTACCAACTAAAATAGTGCCGTTATTAGCACGCTAATGACGCATTCTGTTTGCAGCTAATAGCGCGTAAGTCTCGCCGGTATGAGACGGTCGATGAGCAAACCTTGAGGGACACCGGAACAAACTCAGAGGCGGATGCAGCGAGTTTGCTTTCTGCTAGCTCTATGTGGCGTTCATTGTCGTCAAAGAAATTCGGTCTGGGGTTACGACCCCGGTTGCCCTCCCCATTCATTCCCCGTTATGTCAACAGCAGACGAATGCTCCAGGAGACGGCCCATTGTCACACCAGGCGGACATTGTGGGTGTGTGTACTCCAGCCAACGCAATGCATACAGATGGGCGGAGCGGCAGCGGTGCACCAGGATGTCCACGAAATAACACACAATTCACGGAGACTATCAAGTGACCGACATACATCTGATGAAGAGCAAACCAGCAATAATAATAAGCAATATAAGCACAAAAGCTAATTGCGACCGCATTATTCGCAACCCTAAAGGAGTATTCTATATTCTTTAGAACACAGTATGCATTATCTAAAGAATATTCTATCTTATCTACGAAACGAGCCTGCACCTGGCACCTGAGCTGAGCTCAGCGCACGGTCCAGGCCGGGCCGGTGCAAGATCGAGCTCCAGCTCACCTATCCCGTCCTGGGGTATGCAGCCCCGGCCAGCCGAGCTCAGTGCCTACGCCGGGCCAGGCACGGATCTCTCCAACTAACGTGCCCAGTTGGAGCGGGAGGGGGTAATGCTACAGCACCGGGCCCGAGCCTAGCTGGGGATGGGTCACGGGTGGGGTACGGGGCATGGTCCCAGGCTAGATTAACGCTACTGGCTGCACCGCCGCTGCTGCAGGATCCACCACCGGGGTATCCATCTCGGCTGGGGCGATCGCTCGGCCCGGCCGGTTCATACGCTATATCCGGGACGAGTAGTGGTCCGGTGGTGAGCGAGCTAAGAGAGGGTTGTGGTGCGCGGCAAAGGGAAAGGAGAGTTGGGAGGCCGGAGAGGGAACAACTAACGACGAGGAGATGTATGAGGGAAGGAGGGATCATACCACAGCTGCTGAGTGCTGATGCATTGCATCAGCTGCAATGGAGAAGTTCGTATTTTCGAACAACAAACCCATGTTGAAATTCAAACAGTGAAAGCGGTACTGAGTATTGAGTAAAACATATCCAACGTTGATCAAAACTAGGCATTTTGTGATACTGCAGGCCAGTTTCACGAGTCTGCTGGGCGCTCTGCGAGCTGTACTCACTGGCCGATCCGCACTCGATGCTGTGAGAGGCCAGCTGGGCGGGCATGTTGACCGGACTGGAACGGGCAGCGCTGAGCAGGTCCCGACCCTCAGAGGCACCTCTGGAACATACAAACAGACAAAGAACGGTCATATAGGCAGCTAATATGCGGACTGAGCAAACATCCTTTCATTATCACGAGTTTCAAGGCTGTGAAAACAAAACTATTATAACAGATTTCTTGATTGACATGAATACTGCCATTGTTTCTGCGTTGCGTACACAATCATAGTTCAGAAAAGTGAGCAACAGATATCCCACCCACAGGGTCACATGCGTCAGAATCATATGCGACTAGGACAGACCGCGGGAACGACTGTATCACCATCGGGCAGACGTCAGATGGACCAATACCGCCACCGTCAGAGGGGATACCACGGACACAATAGGACCGGAAGGAGACGGCGGCTGACGACGGGTGACTGAGAGTGGTGGAGAGTGGCGGCAGATGTGCTGATGGTGACGGGACATGCAGCGATACACGACGAGCCGCAGCGGTTGCAAATCCACATATACGACATAAGTTATGACTGTCATAAATCCATGACTGTGAAACCACATGTCACGTTATGTTGGATAGCTGGTTCAAACTCAAAGACGCAACGAAATCAATCAATCTAAGCACAACTCACAAACTGGGAAGACTGAGCACAACCGAGAATGACCTAACACGAACGAAAGAAGTTTCTGCCAACAATCAGCATTACAAGTGGCAAAAGTGGAAAAGTTTTAAGTTCAGCAGCCCGATGCATCACATTCCTCCCACTGCCACCTAACATTAGCCCCACGTCACGCCTCTCCTTCAGACGAGGCGCAGCTCTCCCGGCCCTCTACTCGTCGTCAGCGTTCCTCCGCACTCATCCTCCGGTAATCGATGTGGGCGCCGGCCTCTGACGACATTTACCGTCTCTCTCCGGTCCCCCTCCCCACCCAAACTCGCTGTCTGATGTGTCAACTCGAATCGTCCACACGCCGAGGCCGGTCCGCTCCACCGGCCGGCGGCGCTCGTAACCGAGCTCGTAACTGGCAACACGCCATCACACAGAAAGGCCAGCGAGGAGCGGTGGCCAGCGAAATAACCGGCGGCGGTCGGCACGGGCGCAATGGGCACCGCGGCGGCATTTCGGCAGCCGTGCCGGCCTAACTCGCCTCGCAAGACAGCCCAGAGAGCCGGTGTAACTGCAAATGTCGGCGCCGGTTAGGACATGAGGTAGCCGGCGGACTCCCATGTCGCTTCCGATATGTACCAGCGGAAAATGGCTGTGTGTTCTGCTCTTGGTTCCGGTAAACGTTTACAGAACTCCCAGCAGGAGACTACATAATGTGATGTGTGGTCAACGTGACCTTGACCTGTTCTGGAAAGGGGACGCGGAAAAGCCACATAATGTCGGCCGAATATAGCCGTGCCTTTATTGCCATTATCCTGTTCCGGCTTCTCTTATAACAGAATGTTGAGATAAACGTGAAAATACACTGCCGCACTTCCTGTATTTGAGATGCCGCAGCTGCAATATTAAATGGGCTCCACAGAGCAGAAAACCAGACCGGTCGATATGCATTACCCAAGCAATCTCTCTTGGTTCCAGTCTCCTGCTAATTGAAGATTCCAATATACCTTCACCGCCGCTACAGACCTAGCCACTACACTTGCATCTGACACATTATCCGCCGGACACATCGTACATCAGACATCTTCTTACATCCGACACATCCTAGGCCCGACACCCGACACATCCTCCGTCCGACATCCTCTACCAGACACCCGACACCATACCGACGGCTACGTTACTTTCCTCCCCCATCAGCGTCACGGGCTCTCCTAATGATCGTCATTAGAGACTCGCCTCGCCACCGCCGGCGCCGGGGAAGGAGCAGCCGCCGGCGAATCTCCGACTGCTCCGCCGCGGGCAACGTATCAATGTCAAGGCAGAGGATACCCAGCCGTTCGTGACGGACAGATTTGGGACGGACGGAGGGTTGCACGACAGCCCCGCGGTGAAGTGTTCATCCGACGTACGAGGAATGGCTGTAGGGCGTTGGTCAGCTGATCGAGTCAGGTCACGTGATCAATCACGGGTCGTCCGGCGGACGTTCCGATACAGATTTGTTTGAAGTTGCCCGGGCTATTTCACAGACACGCCAAGAATAAATGAACTTGTCAGGGATGCCTGGACCGTCACGCTCCCAACTTTGCCAGTGAAGCTATCGTTAAAAATCTTCCTATGACGCACCGCAGCCATATTGAAGAAGAGCGTAAAGTCCCTGGCTTCTCATGTCGGAAACTTTGCCGACGTGGATCTCAGTCGGCGTCAAAAGTAAGACGGTAGCTAGTTTTCTCAGCCACTGCCTTATTCCTTAATCATGGCAGTGAATCTCTGCAAGCGGTGCTACGGGAAGAGTAGTAACATAAACTGACATCTCCGCCGAAACCTGACCTCTTCTGAGTCGAACTGGGCAAATTCCGCAGTCCGGCACCAGCGGGTAGCAGATGGGTAATAGCACGCTCCGCTACGCGAAAACAGACCCAAATGCCCGACCTGACACTATCGGGCACTACTTCCGGTACCGGCACAGGCAGTCACCGAGTCGTTATTGTGGTAGCTGCGTCAATACTGTGACCACAGCGCCAGTATCGTCGATACCAGCCGTCCGTGCGGAGCGACTGTCGCGTCACGACAGCCAGGGGATAAATGCCATAAACAGAGATCTGATCAGGGGCCAGGAGCTGACACGTCTCTGAGGGCACGGGCTTTGGTCAGTTTGGTCAGTCAGTCCGGAAATTCAGAAATACTGTCAGTCTTCAAAGAATTGTGATTAGCTTATTTGTACTCTTCGTAATTTTAAGTATATCTCGAGCTTTTATGTACCAGCCATGCCATAAAAAACATTAATGAAAGCGAGACTGGGAAGGAGCTCGTCTTATCATCAGCGGCGGCACAATGGGGTTGGGAACTCGATTTTTTAAGAATGCATGAAAATGATCAAACTATTTTCACAGAATTTATGGTGCATACCATTGCCTCATAAAATCAATAAGCTGAGAGAAATGGGGGAAGAAAGATAGGAAACTTGTTTTGAAAAGTTCTTGAAAAAAGATGCTCTTGATGCTGTTACGTCACATGTCACCTTCTGCGGTTGACAAATATTGGCGCATCTGGCGCACCACAGATTACATGTTATATCAATGGGTGAAAGATGTTGTTTGCTTCACTCTGCCATTCGCGCTGTTTTTAACTTTAAATTATGCTAAAACATTTACGGATGAAATGTTCAGTGTGAAAAATTGATGTGTCTGCCGTGTACTATATTCCCACTTAACATGAGCGCGTGATAAACATTTTATGTACCTCGAATTTTCAAATGATAAAGATGATGAATCGGAGGATGCTGAAAAGCAAAAGCTCATTCCAATATTTGGACTACTTTACGATTAAAATGTTTACATTCCTGTCATCTTATTGATCATTTATTTGGTCTTTTTTATGAAAATAACTTTAGGCGTTGAGAACCGAGATAATTTCTATCTACCGTGCCTTAATTTACCAGCAACAGCAATCTATCTACGCCCTACGGTGGCAAGGGAGACTGTGAAAGAAGCGCAAGATGGATTCTAAACAATTCTTTTGTGATATACTGAAGGGCAAAGTGCAGAGAAGAGCGTACAAGTCCTGTTTTGTGCCAGGCTGTTGCAGTAGCACTTATGAAACTCCGAAAACGATCTTCGTTCATGTCCCGAACAACATTACCCTGAGGAGATGATCGTCTGCAATAGCAGGAAGAGCTGATGCAAGTACTTTGAAATCCACTATCAAGTCGGTGCTATTGTTGTAATGATCACTGTGAGGTGAGATATTTTGTGCAAGGGCTGAGTGTAATGCCCAGGAAATGACCTCCATTCGCCCCCTGACCGGTCAGGGTTATAAAATTTGAGTGGATGGTGGTCCGTTTGGGGTTCAGATGTCAATTGTATTTTGTTACTGTCAAACAATACATGTTATGCTGGCAGCGAATGTGTGTAACGTCGTTTTTCGAAACAGAAGTTAGAAACTGTAACGGCAGAGTACTTGCTGGTCTCATCGTAAGTATTGTAAGTGTTGTAAGCAAAAGCATTGTCAATATTGTAAGTATTGTGAGCATTGATGTATGGTAGATATCACCTCACATGATCTCGGCTCAGATAACCCTCTCCGGTGTCCCTGTCAGTAAATGGCACCTGGATCATTACAGATAAGATAATTTGTCATAATTCTTAAAGAATCGGGTGGTTTTGACTCGTTTACTCGAGGTGCAGGTCGCATTTCAATACTTTTCCATAGGCTTGCAATGTTAAGGTCACGACTCTGACCTAACCTCAGGTCACAGATCAAAAATTCTGAGATATACAAACGACACATACTGCAGGTACTGTTTTGAAGACTTGATGAGAGGAAATAACTTCGTGAAAAACTCAAGCTCTGACGTGTTTGCAAACTTTTCTGAGGTGGGGTCAACAAACCCGCTCTGGTTACCTGACCTGACCTGACCCGGCATTTTTTTTTTTTTTTTTTTTTTTTTTGCTGAGATGTGCGCAATGAGCATTTAGGAAAAGTCACCAAATATGAGCTGAATGTCTCGCGGCGTTTGGCAATAATACAAGAAAATCCTGAAAGGTCTCCCCGTCCGAAATAGGGTTAATGTGTATATGAAGAGTTGCAGATGCCAAACATACCCAGATCTAAGACTGCAGTTCCCAGCGCCGCTGCAACGTTTTTAAAACAAACATACATAGGACATACAATCATGTTTATTTGCATCTGTTTTGGATAATAGCAACTCATGGCGCCATCACCCGCGATAACTGTTAGGATTTGAGATATATTTTTATTTAGGCCATTAGTTTGGCTGTAATGTTTATTAATATTAGTTGGGCGGAGTTTGGTAGTTTTTTATTTAACTTGTGGTATGTTGTGCTGATTGCGGGTTGTTCAAACCTTTCAAATGTAAGGACCTTATTGAACTCAACCCTACCCCTACACTACCCTACATACGACTGGACGCTTTCCAAGCCCACAAGCATCACGACGCCGAGATGGAATGTAGCCGAGAAATCACCCTGGCCATCTGCTCTAGAGCTAATCGTGTGGGGCGGCGTGTGGGGCGCCGCTTAGCCTATGGGGGTGCACTTCTAGTGGATGGGGGACGGGGGTGCACCTGCACCCCTTTCATATGGAAAGTTACTTCCCTGATTACAGCTCCCCGTATTGCACCTAATCAGGGAACGGCCAGCAAACGAAGGAACTATTTCTGGATGACAGGCGAATAACCGCTCACGCAAGGAGCGGAGCTCCGCCCCGTCCAAAGTGGCCAACAAAGCAGAGACAGAGGCAGCATCACATCTTCCATCAAAGAACTGGTTTCTGGCTTGGAAGATGAGCTCCATCTTTGCATCCGAGTCGGTGCTGTCAGGAATCAGCTGGTCTAATGGAGTGAGAGTAGTGAGACGACTAGCTATTGTATCAGAGCTGCCTGGTCTTCGTAGCATTTGCACCGATTCTTCTCGATCGGACTCTGAATTCTGTCCCTCCTGCGTATTACTTGAGGCATTGCTATGTAGCTAAGTCTTTGGCAGAGTTTCATTATCCATGCTTTGCAAACAGTGCCATAACAACACAGTTAATTAATCACCAAGCTTCTTTGCAAGTTCCAATACAGTTGAATCGCACGCGATTTGAGTGCAAAAATCAAGAAAAGTGCCAACTTGTTCCCGTAAAATATTTTGAATATTGACCTAAAAAAATGAGTAATTTCCAGATAAAATAACAGCGAAATCAGTTTTCGCTTGCCAATAAAACTCACAGATATTGAAGCTCCATTATTAAAGGAACATTTTAGTATATGCCATTCTTGATAAAACTTCTTAGCCACGCAATACCAGCGCAAAATAAAGAGACACTGAAAACACGACCAATCACTCCGATTTACCATAGGAAAATACATAGAAAATGTATGTCTCAACTGCGCCAAATATACAGACAGTTATATACCTACATGTGACGTCATGATTAGCCCGACCAATCAGAAGCAAGTTGTTTTCAGCCACAAATAATTAATTTCTGAACTAACTAGGCATCTTTTTAACAAAGTGATTTTAAATTAAATCATTAAAAATTCTGAGCTTTTTTATTTTACCAAAACATACAGAGCATGCAGATAGGTCCCAACCCTATTGTGTTCACCGTCTCCGCACAAATCTCGTCAGCATTTCACACGTTCCGTCTACAGCCCAGCATCTCTCTCCCCCGGATCACTGCCGCGCGACGGCATATGAAACCGGGACCAGAATTCACAGAGCACGAAATAGCACGGGAAACGACAGGAAATTGGATGTAGTCAGAGTGAGAAGCAGACAAAGAAGGGAGGCCGGCCACAGTGGCAGATTGATCCGCCGTGGACGGGCGCAGGATGGTATGGCTTAGCGCTGCACTCCGGCATCCAAGATGAAAGACGCCTTATGATGGGATCTTAGGGCGAAGTTAATGATGTGGCTTCTCGTATGAAAGACGATGCCGCCTGTGCGCACAGGATAGCTGAAGAAAAACGTCCGGGCACGCAGACAGCTGGGATGATGAAAGGACGCCAGGGGCGGATGGAAACTGTATGACGGTATGAGGCACACGCTACTAATCTTTCGATAAGTAGCGAAAATATATCCCCAATATCCCGTAAGATATAAATGGAGCTTCTGAGTCAAGTACCTTTCTGTCAAGCAGTTATAAGTAATTCATAGGCAGCCCTTATCCTACTTGAGTATTCATGAGAAACCTGAGCCAGACTGCAAGTACAGGGTGACACAAAAAAAAAAACGGTCATCACCAAATTTCGAATACCTAACTTCGGAAGTTTTATTCAGATCATCACCAAACTTCGGCCACTTAAGGTCACACCTATGTAGCATACATCCACCAAGTTTCAAGTCTTCACTACGATTACTTTTAGTACAGGGTGTGTTTTACTGACGCTCCACAATGTGCTCCATCCAGGTGAGCGCCACGGCGTTGCAGGGCGTAGGCACACTTGCATCCGGCGGGCAAAGTTGTCGATAACCCGATGGCTGTGCACTTTACAGAGTGCAATGGCCTCTGGAGACAGTGCTCAGGGGGTGTGCTACCCCTGAAACGTTATTCTTATCGGGTTATCGACAACTTTGCCCGCCGGATGCAGGTGTGCCTACGCCCTGCAGCGCCGGGGCGCTCACCTGGAGCACATTGTGGAGCGTCCGTAAAACACACACTGTACTAAAAGTATTCGTAATGAAGACTTGAAACTTGGTGGATGTCTGCTACATAGGTGTGACCTAAAGTGGCCGAAGTTTGGTGATGATTTGAATAAAACTTCCGAAGTTATTCGAATTTTGGTGATGACCGTTTTTTTGTGTCACCCTGTATAAGAAAACATACGCCTGTAGCCAAGCCTCACGGATCTGGAATTAATGTATTCAATTCTCAAAGGTGGTTTTTGAACCATCGAAAACACCCAGTAGTTTTATACCCGGCGAGGCGCCGCCTGCTCCGTCACAACATAAAAGTTCAAATGGGCTGAACAGAACATAAAAATGGCACGCAAAACAAAAACACCCGGGGCTGGGGAGCCTACGAGCGAAGGGACAGACAGAGGCACGACACGCGATACTAAAAGCGCGTTAGAACAGAGTATGAAGAGGCGAGGTAGAAGAGGCGAGGTAGATGCTGTTGAACGACAACACAGCGTACACAAAGACAACAGGGGCTGACGTCATTGAACAGGCTCGGCTTAGAGCTAAAAGCGAGGAGCGTGGGCGACATATATAAATAAGAAAAAAGTTGTTTCAACAGAGAGCGTGCATGCAAAGAGCACGATGGCATCAAGAAATGAAACTAAAAGCAAAGAGCGAAAGCAAAAATAAAGAGAGGCGCACAGAATGCGCAGTGATACTGACCCGGCCGAGTCTGAGAAGGGTCGGAACGAGAACTGCGGCCCCATCCAGAGCCGCCGGTGGGGGCCCGAGTGGCTCAGAATCTCCACCTGGGGACGAACAGGGCACACGCTGTCAGATGGGGTCATACGAATGACGCAGGTAGTTACGTGTCGCGTCATACACCCATCAATTGTCAGATCTTATTTGCATGAGATATATCTGAAAAACTGTCAAGTAAAATTTGCGAAAAATGTATTGCACTTGCAGACGATAGATACTTTTGGTAGCAATCAAATGACGCATTCTGACAGAGTGAAAGCAAACCACCCCGACGTAAAACATTCGCACAATAAACGGATGGACTTTTATACAGAGAATCAAGAATCGTGATACGAAATACAACGTCGAGTAATCACAACTTCGGGTAGCCTTAGCTATGGCGCCACCAAAGCCTCAACCTTTAAGATACCAGCACTCTTTATACGGCGTCAACCTCCCCTACAAAAACAATCGCTCATCAGTGGACCGTCCCCGTCGCCGCTCATCAGTGCTCGTTCCGTCAATCACAGTGAATCCAGCCAGCTCAGCGCCGTATCAGAGCCCGTCAGACGGCCCTCATTTGCCGAATTCTGCGGCCGTGTGGCGGGCGGGAGGGGTGCCGAGCGCCGGCGCTGACGAGGCACCGTTCCACACTTTTCCGTCGCTGCTGTCGCTGCCACCATCACGTTTCATCCCTCCTCGCCTACCGTCGTCGTCGCCGTCGTCGCCCGTCGCTCTCGACGCGAGGCGCGCTGACGGGGACCGGCGTCCCGCGGCGCCGACCGAGACACCTCATCAGGCCGATCAACCAAGCGGAACGTCGCTCTAACCGTCCCGTCGGCGACAGGCGCCCCTCCGAGCACAGCTGAGCGGGCTCCCCCGGCTCTCCCTGGTTTCCAGGCGACCGAGACTGGACGCGGATGGGATCGTTGGGTTGATTCGTAGCGTTAGAGACGGAGAAAAGCGTAGGCCGTGCTGACGTCAATACGATGACTGAGGTGAACGAGGCAGTGACAGTGGGAATCACCGCGGATCTGATGGTTTGGCCAGCGTAGCGCATACATCCATTCTTAGCTCTAATCCAGACCGCCCGATGGCTGTCTCCGGCGTCACAGCCACGCGTTCGCCGTCAGTCCAACATCACAGCTTTTGAATATTCATCAAGGCACGTCCCAAATACCCTCCCTACAAGACCGATGGAACTAGAATAGACACATCGCTCCTAGCCATATCCATCCCCGCACAGTTACCAGGCGCGACAACCATCCCCTTCATGACGTCATGTGTGACACCACAGAGTACCAGTGAGGTCTCCAAGCCAGCGACTGTTTCACAGCCCCATGCTAGCGGTGGCAGGGCGGAGGTCCGGCGGGCCGTTTGGCGGAATTGGTCGGTCAGGGGGCAGTGGGGACTGAGGCTGGTAGTGGGATGGTGTGAATGTTAATGGAGCGGGGATAGTCGGCGGGGATGATTGGGACGGCGCATCAGGGGTGGGGCGGAGGGTGGGGAACCACGGAGATGGGACAAGGAAGCCAGGAGGGAGGAAGGGAGGGAGGAGGGAGGGAAGGAGGGAGGAGAAGAGAGAGAGAGAGAGAGAGAGAGAGAGAGAGAGAGAGAGAGAGAGAGAGAGAGAGAGAGAGAGAGAGAGAGAGAGAGAGAGAGAGAGAGAGAGAGAGAGAGAGAGAGAGAGAGAGAGACGAGAGACGAGAGACGAGAGACGAGAGACGAGAGACGAGAGGGATGAGATGTGAGAGGAAATAAGGAGAGAGGAAAAAGAGGAGTGGTAGATGATAGGAAATATTAGAGATAAAATTAGCGTACAATAACCATCAGAAAGCAATATAGGAAAATCGAGCGGTAATCGACTCCCAGCCAATCGCCCTGCAGCCGCCCGGCAGAGGTGACAATATGCGACTGGACAATATAGCGGCACGTATAGTGGAAGCAATTTACGAAACAGTCGCCGTTTCAGAGCCCGCTGGCCGGACCGTCTCCGAGCCAACTGACCGTCTGAAATTGAGCCCAACTGGCGGGGACCGGTCTCAATATAACCTCCCAAAACGGCCGGTCGGGGAGAGTGGTGCCGAATGGAGCGGCGACCGCCGGGGACCGGATACCACCGCTGGAAACAAATGGCAGAGAGATGTCCATGGAACGGCGCCGCAACGGACCGTTGTCATCAGCTGCCTCTAATGGTCCGTCATTACCCCCAGGATACCGGACCCATTTCCGAATAATTGATCCGGCCAAATGAAGTCATCTGAGGCCAAATCACCGCAATCACGTTCATGCGGCGGACGAAGGGCTGCATTGACGTTTCCATTCGGTTTAATGGAAGTCGTCCGGTGCCGGCGAGACGGATGGCCTTCACGTTTCAATTCATCTTCTTAAAATGTCGGAGGGCACCACATCAGGCCGACCGCGGGCCGCCGGGAAGCGGGCTTTCAAAGGAAGGAGAGGTAACTCTGCACGTGTCTGAAGGGATCAATGGCTGCAGAGTCGGCCGCTGGGAGAGGATCAGACCAGTGCTGTTACCTGCCGGTAGTAACATCAGAGAAGTACTAAGGAGAATCACGGCATGATGGTGTGGTGAATATATGATAAACTGAGCCAAATCACGATAAGTTCCGTATGGTTCACGGACCACGGCACGTGTCAAAGCTAATCACGAAAGATATCACGATACATCACGAAACGCAGTGTCAGACACGATATTCGCCGAGCGGGAGCAATGCGATACCGCAAGGACATGACAATAGTCTAAAGCCTGAACACAACCATATAAGCACGTACTCGGAATAGCCGAACTTTAGTTCAAATACAGCCCGGTCTGAATACAACCTAGGCACGCATTAGTGCCAAACTTCAGTTGAAATACAAGACCTGAGTATCACCGACCGGCGCACTGAAGCATCCAGAAATACCCAGGGAGGGACGGCTCGGTCCAAATGGCCCCGTAAAAGCCCGACAGTCAGTGCGCATTACGGCGAGGAGAGGAGAATATGGAGGCAGATGACAGGAGAAATGTAGCGGGAACTCACACGGGACTGGGGAGCCGTGCCAGCAGACGAAATACTGGGCCAGGATTAGGCGGAGAGGAGGCGAACCGCAGAGAGATACAATATTGGCTGGAATGAGAATGATAAGCAGAAAACAGGAAGTTCCACATACAATCACACATAAGAAGCCTCTGACTGGCGACAAGGCGAGACAAATATGGCGGAAAAGATCCCAACACTTCCTGTTCCGTTGCCAGATCTCGGTGTGAGAATCCGCCCCCGTGCCCGTGTCAGCAGTGACTGAGCGGTGCCCGTTTCCACCGTCCCTACCGGGTGCCTGATTCATCCTCCCATAAATCGCGGCCGAGTATAGCTCCATCGCGGCTCTCACCGTCCGGGGACCGTCTGTGAGTCGGGTGGTGTCCGACGGCCGTCTGTCATGATCACAGGTTTAGCCGTAGCTGGCCAGCTGGTCTATCATGATCACAGCTAAAGTAATAATAAAGAAAACACCTGACCATCTGGACTAGCGTGAGCACCGGGTTACGATCATCGAGCCACTCGTAACAGCCGGGGCAACAGCTGTCCGATTATGAACGTTCTTCGAAACTCAGCGTATTTTTCCGAAATTAATTCAAGACTGAGCTAGACACAATTGAATTCCATGTTTAGTCTTGTTAGTTATTGTAATTGAAACTTTGTCCAGCCTCCAGATTGCTCTATTCAGTATTCCGTGTGAATTCGTTCGCTACCGCAGCCCAAGCTCCACGGAGCAGTGGTGGTGGTGGTGGCTGCAGAGGCGGCGATGACCCCAGTCGTAATACGCTGACCCGGCACACTGCTGGGGCGCTGTGGGGCCACGACGGGCCCCGGACCGACCACAGAGCCAGGCTTACCGCAGACGACCGGATATGAAGACAATGCCCGCCTACCCAGAAACGAGTGAGAGAGAGGAGGGCGGAGAGGGAGGGAGAGAGGGAGGGAGAGAGAGAGAGAGAGGAGACAGAGGGAGAGAGAAGCGGAAACGGGTCGAGTGGGATCGAACAAGAATGATCGCAGTTGGATTAGACATTCATCTTTCACTCAGAAAGGGAGGCTGGCATCAGCAATCGGATATGCCGCGACACAATGGCGCCGGCCAGTCCAATCAGATGCCAGTAAATAGCCCGACATCACGTCTCGCATACAGGCGCTGGATGGCGGCGTATCACTGCCGAGGAATCCATTACGGATTCTCCTCCAGCTTCTGCGATCAACCATCGGATGGCACGGCTCTGGATCGCGCCACTCGGCCGCTGAAAAACTCGCCCGGCACGCCGCGTCCAGACCTCATCAATACAGCGGCGCCGATCCCTTGAGCCCGCTTTGCTGGCGCCAATCCAGCGAGCCTCACCCCCGGCGCGGGCACGTTCGGCCGGCCAGGCAGCTCAATTGGGGGCCGCGATCCCCACGGCCGTTTAAAAACCATTTGTCGCGCGGGCTGGCGCGGTAACCATATAACCGGGCAATGCGCCGCCGAAGCAGCTTTTTCCGACAGAAAACCGCTCAGTAAACTAGAAAAGCACCCGGAGAACCCGTCGTAAGACAAGTCACGCGGTGATGGACTATCGGCTCGGACGGTAACAGTGGCAATAAGTCAATCGGAACTGCCTCAGGGAGACGGTGTAACTCATCGGAGGATGTTCTGAGGCAATCAGCGGAGTTCGGAGGAGAAACATGTCTGCTGCTGGAGGTTCGAGCGGTCGGGTCGAGTCGATATCAGATAAGTGCGGAGCGTCTGGCGTGTGTGTGGTAGCGATATCGATATGGGGGAAGTTGGACATGTCATGAGGACTTAAAGCGGTTCCAGTCAGAGTTTGGACGATACTCGCGGTGAATCAAAGTCGGGTATCTGAGTCTGGATGGAATCACAAGTACCCTGGCTCAAACTAAAGCCAGGGTACACTCGGGGGCAGATTGATGTTCCACCACTCCCTACGGCCTACCTATCGGGCTCCCATGGCTCAGCACTGACTGCTGCCAATGGCAGCACCATGGCCTACCCATCGGGCTCCCATGGCTCAGCACTGGCTGCTGCCAGTGGCAGCACTGGCAGCACTGGCACTGGCAGGCAGTGCTGAGCAGTGCTGAGGGCAGGCAACACTGGCAGCAGCCAGTGCTGTGCCATGGGAGCCCGATAGGTAGGGAGTGGTGGAACATCAATCTGCCCCCGAGTTACTAAAGCCATAATGGCATCGATAAAGCAAGAAGCTTTACGAAAGTATAATTCTCACACCACTGTTCCAGTAAGTGCATCGACCATCGTGTTTCTTTTTTTTTCAGCTTCACAGCAACCGCGGGGGCGGTAGGAAAGGATAGCTTCGGGGTCCGGGGTAGCCGAATCGTTCTTAACGCTTGATATCGTCAAAAGAACTCCCATCCATCATCCACCTCTCCATTGGCTCCTCTCCCCCGCACCCTCCCCGCACACTGACCTGCGAGACCCACTGTTCGGCTCCGGCCGGCGGTGTGGGCGGCGCCGGCGGGGTCGGGGTGTGCAGCAGTACACTGCCGGTGGCCAGCGGAGGCCGCACCTCGGGCCACACCGTCTGGCGACACAGCGACCACTGGGCGTGCGCGTGAACCGTGACCTCGACCGGCGCGTCCTCGGGCACTCGGTCCTTGGCGATCACTGGAACAGGGGACACCAAAGTCAGGCATAGTGGCACAACCGGCAACAAAGTAGGGCGACAGCTGGTAGGCACACTACATATACCGGCGATGTGCCGTAGCCAGAAGTTGCAAAAAAAAAAACTACCCAAAATGCTTCCACAAAAGTGAATCAGCAGTGAAAAGGAAAAGTTATAAGTGATGGTGACTGTGTGAAGATAAAAAATATTCAATCGCAACAACAATTACTATACACATGTCTTGCCTTCACACACTAACGCAATACCATTCCCAGACAGTCGTGATCCCATCCTCCATCAGTCCACCTGACCTATGAACGCCCCCTCACCCCACCCCACCCCGACATCCGTGCCGCACTCCAGCTGTCCCGCAGAGTCCCATAAATTCCACTCTGCTGTCCGACCAGACAGATGCCATTCCGGTCACCCCGGTTCAGGCCTTCCTTGTCGGCCAGGAGACAGACTGGGAGAGAATTAGAAACCAAACTCGGAGCCCTACATACGAACCACGAAGATACGGTCTCAAGGCAGCCAATATATGAGCCACCTAGCACCGCGCTGACTCAGGCCCTAGGGACGTATTTTGCCGCTACGCTCACTGCTCGTAGCTTGGACACGGCCCAGAAAAAAGCGCAGACGCAGCGCAGAAGAAAGCGCGGACCCAGACGGGCCGGCCGCAGCGATGTCTCGGTTGGGCGACCCTCGAGTCGGCTCATTGCTTCGCTGCTTGCCGGTCGGACGGTCGGGAGAGCGGTCGGCTGGTCGGTCGCCGGTGCGTGGGGGACGGTCCGCTGGGGTGTACTGCTAGCTGAGATAGTCCGGGGTACTCGTGCGCACACGGAGACGGAGCCCATGCCACGGACGTGTACCGACTGCAGTAAACGTGGCGTAAATGTCGGACCGCGAGAGAAGAAACTGGTTCACCACACTTATAAACTCTCCGCAAAGCATTGGTTGCAAAGGAGTAATGTTTGGGCATACCTATATGGTTGTGTTGTGGAGTCGATCATCTCATAAGTAATGTATGCCAAATTTCTGTTTACTTCTGCAGAACCGCTAAAAGGTCACTTCAACAAACTTGCATTGATGAGACCATCAAAGGACCACATAGCCTCGACCCGTAAAGGCCTTCACGCCTCACCAGTCAAAGACGACGGGGCCTCGAAAACTTTACCAAACCTGATAGCTGAGCCATTGAGCCTCCTCATTTTCGGGAGCACGCCAAAACAAGCTATCCAAGTGACACCACCAACTTGGACGCTATTGCCGCCACCAGCTTCTTCCAATCAACGAGCCCCTATCCCACACAGCAGCGTCTCTAGCCTCTCCCATCTACAGACCATCTACCCTGCCCCAACGGTCAGTGGAAGCAAGGGTGTCGTTCTAATAAGATTCAGAACAGTCGTAGTTGCCGGGCGTAGGCAAGGCGGCATCACAAGACTCGGAGAGGACGCTAACTCACCCCTTCCCACTCCGGCGGGCGGGCCTCTCCCCGTCGTCTCAGAGAGGTCCGACGTCGTCGGTTCTATGATGGATCGGGCAGCTGACGGCGGCGTTTTTAGCTGCTTTACGGACGTCTTGTCGCTGTTTCCGCACATTGAACCCCTGATTGAAGCGCTTAAGACGGCATCAGTGAGCCGTCCACATACCGATGGACGGAGGAGGACCTCCCGGTCCGCCAGTTTGGATCAATACGGGTGTGCCGCCTATTTTAATCTGGAGCAGTATCCATTAGCCCCGCCGGGTGCGGTAGCGTGCCGCGAAGAGGGGCGTGCGAGGGTCCGCTGGGTCCAGTAAAACACGCAGGACACTGCCTTTGAAGTGGCGCGTGTTTGTGTGTTGTGCGTGGCGGCTGCGCACGCACGTTGAGTCATAGTAGTGTGTTCGGCTGTACTATCGTAAATAGGCTAGGGACGTAACGTATTGGGACGTATGGATGCATCGTTTTGTTTACGAAGTTGCGTGCATGTTAGTGCCGAAACACCTAAGTTTATTACACCCCTGTGGCATCATTTCTAACGCCACCTAGCGTTCCACCCAGCCCCGCTACCCAACCAACCGACCGACGCACCGACTCGTCCGCCCGCCAGCCGGGTCACCGGTCGGTAGTCGGCCTCGTGTCAGCCGACCGGTGACCCGCCGAACGTCCTTGCCGCTGGGTGGTCGCCATCAGCCGCCCATACCCCGCGGCGGAGTTGGAGCGGCGCGGTGGCGTGTCAGCCGCCTGCCAGCGGTCGTCAGTGCGTCCTGAACCGCCCGGTACCACCCGGCAGTCAGTAGCCACCCATAACCCACCTCCAGCCGGGCGCGGCTCCACGTGGTACTCGATCAGGCTGCCGCCGCTCGACATCACGTAGAGGGCGTCCCAGTGGCGGCGCTCGCGGGAGCCGGCCGAGCCGCCGCCGCCGCCGCCCGCCGAGCCGGCCACCCAGCCGCGGGAAGGCGCGAACGTGCACACCACGCGCACGTGCGACGTGTCATCCGTGGGCACGTGGCGAGCGGTAGGAGAGTGGCGCGGAGACGGTCCTGTGGGGTCAAAGGCGAGGTCACGGACGAGTCACACCCCTTACAGGGGTGGCAGAGGTCACACGATGGCAGGGGTCAAATGCAGTTTAGCAAGGGGTGGAAGGTGGATACATATTATATGATACTTTAATGTAGTCTGCACACGACCCACATGCAGTGCAGCAAGCAGCAGGTGCCGGATCAGTACGAATAGCATACATAAGATTCTTTAAGCTCGTTACCATGTTTCAATGATGCGGCTAAGTGACTTGAAATGACGCTGAGCTGTTGACCTGGCGCTTAATGTCACAACGCTGCAGAATACTTCGGCGGTGAGGATTTATGGTGCTATTAGCGGCCTGGCTTTGTAAACATGAAACCACCTGCGATGGTAAATTCATGATGGCACGACGGCAATGTATGATGACAAACTAGAACCTTTTCTGGGTAACTTAAGTTATTCTAAACACTTCTGCAGCACCCTGGATGAAACCACAATAAATATTACAGGGAGACATTGCGACCAGATGCTCCAACTATCACATTTATATCGACCAGTACCGACCAATACCGACTAGTATAGTCAGCAACCCTGCACGCTCTCACCTGCTCTGGCGATGAGCTGGGTGAGACCTCCCCATTCTCACCTGAGCCAGCGCGGCGGTGAGCTGGGTGAGACCTCCCCATTCTCACCTGAGCCAGCGGTGAGCTGGGTGAGCAGCGGCTGTCTGAGCTGCGCCATGGGCGGCACCAGGACGGGCGCCGGTCCTCCGCCCGGCGATCCGCCCCCGGATGCCTCTCGGGTCCTCGGCGACAGCGGAGAGTTGCGGCCAGAGCTAGGAGAAGACGCAAGGAGAGTCAGATGGGCTGTGACCTGTTTTGGGGTCAGACGCCCAGTGGCCCGGTTATCGGTAAGAATCCTGGGCCGGGTCTTGTCGCGAAACATATTAGAGACTGGAGAGGTATAAGTGCGTTGGGCTGAAAGACGAGGAAGATGCCAATAATTTAACCGAACATCAACCGAACAGATAAAAGCTGATGGAATAATAGTCTTGGTTTTAGACGCACTTCAATTAGCCCCGTACAGGATGCATTTATGTTACATAATCCTGCCATTCCAATGGCTATTTATAATCAACTCAAACTTTAGAACCACACTGAATGCAAACTATGCTCTTATTACGAACTCTAAGCGTCATAATTGAAGTCTGACGTAGTTCGACCGCTGTCCGAGCCGCGCGTCCTGCGGTTCTGGGCCACCCCCTCTATCACGTGACGGACGGGACAGGGGGTGGGGGTGGCCGTCTATCAACCCCGGTAGGTATGTGCTCTATCACGTCATATGGGCTGGGATCACGTGAGACACGCCACACGCCCAGACCACGTGATATTCCTTTCCTATCCCCAGGGGAGACAGAGCGTCGGAAGCCGGGTGGAAAGGGGTCAGCACTAACGCGACAGTCGCCAGCATAGCCCCCGATAGTGAAAATTGGGTAGAGAACTAAGAACTTGCGGCGTCACCCTGGATTTAGCGACGCTACGACCAACGGCAGGCCAAGTCATTTGAACATCAAAGGTTTATGTAAGCGGGTTACGGGGCTGGAGTATTCGTTGGTATGAACATCTTTGGTATGTCACAGGCTAACAGCGATGTCACATAGGGCGTGGCTGTTCATAGTCGCGACATAATGCATAGCTGCATTCCAGAATAGTGCAAACAATGAGGCCACATTCCTAACAGCTCAAACACATAACACGGCGTCATCAGGACATTGCAGCGCTGGTCCCTGCAGCATAGCTCACTAGCAAAATGGGCGCCACCGTGTGCCTGACATTTCGTTTCGGGAACTGCGAAGAGGAGTTAATTTTCAGTATTCATTAGCATGAAAGGATAATTTCAGCATCCATTAGGATGGCATGATTAGGTGATTAAGTGCAAATTAAAATAGCATTTCATTTGGAACGAGAACACAAAGAAAGTGAATTATGCGCTCATCAGAGTACGTAAAATTAATTCTATGAAAGAATATGCAGCCAGATTGATACTGATTGCAATCCTACTCAGAGCATTCTGCGCAGCAACCTATTCAGTTACCTATTCCACACCATATACATTGCTACATCTTCCTTAATATAACTTCCGATGACCAAAATGACGAGGCGATAGCAGCCTTTCAAGCGGTTATTCATTTCAGTTTTAATAATAACGAACGAACACACTTAGGCTGTAAAATAGTTCTCAAACTGCAGGCATCACATCGCTTATATTTGGGGAAATATATAACTTAGATCACTTTCGCCAGTGGAGTACATCATTGGGGTCCAACTTTGAAAGTGATTAGTTAATTGTGATGGACTAGTTAGCGCTAATGACGACCCAGGTCGATTCGACAGTATTTTGGGAATGACACTGCACTGATCGGGTCTCATATGAGGGGAGAGATGGCTCATCGGTTTGGCTGATAAGGATGTTACATCTACTAGCGATGTAAGCTATCCATTGTCGCTTAGCTCACAGCTGTGCTTGATAAACCTGTTACAAAAGTATAAAAGCAAAATAGTGCAAACGTATCAAACCAGCGTTTCGGGCAGCGGCTAGCTGCTGCTATCCGGCACAAGACGTGGCGATAATGGCGCCATCTCTAAAAACTTCTAACTACAGAGGTCACGGCCGTAAGCATCGCACATCGAAGTCCTCATCCTAGATCAACGCACAAACTGCCGTCTGGATATCCAGAATTGGGCCCCAAAAGATCATCCGAAGACCTGAGGTAGACTAATCTGAGCTGACGCAGAACCTCCCTGGTCTCGTAAGCTTTGACCTGACATCTCTGTGCCTACCCTCCCCGCCCTCCCCGCTCCCCCGCTACCTACCCTCCCCGCTCCTCGCTCTCACCCATGACAGGTGGAGTCCTGCAGTCCGGCCGAGCGGTGGAAGCGGCTCAGTTTGTTCACCACCCGAGGCCCGCAGTGGGTCCGGGTACTGATGGCACCTCCATACGGGCAGATGGGGAACACGTGTGTGGTGCCGCGGTGGGTGGCCACAGACACCCAGCGGCTGTCCAGAGAGAAACTCAGGTCCAACACCTGAGGGGGAGGGGACAGGTAATAGCAAAAACAATCAGAAGGGTCGTAAATGGTACCGATCAAATCAGCTGTGTTGGAAGAGGACACATAAATTAACTAGACACCAACAATGCAAACACAGACATTTGATAGAGCATACTTGAATGTTAACACAATGAAATGAAACACAACCCAGCACATTTTGTGGTGTCTACGGCTTAGAATAAAATCTTAGATTTCCGCTCAATCCCTCTTAACAGATACAGTCAATATCAGCGGCATCTTTACCTCGGCCAAGGTGTCACCCAGGTACAGGGTGTACAGATGATGTACCGTCCGTGGTACAGGGTATACCGTCCTTGGTACGTACCTTGGCGGTGGTATCTCCCCTGTACAGGGTGTACAGGTGGTGTACAGTCGCCAGCGCCGGACGCTGGGAGTGCGGCTGTATCCGGAACACATGGAAACTGTTCCCCGGTTTGTCTGCGGTGAGTAGCAGTGTGCCTGATGCGTCAAAACACAGCTGAACCACTGCCGACAGATGCGCCTGCGGTGGAACGAGATAGAGAGAGCGGTCAGATCAGATGTGCCGAGGGATTGGTCAGTATCGTTTGAGCGGCCTTACCGACAGACGTGAGCTGTACAATGTGTGGTTGGGATAGCGCTGCCCTCACCCAGCGACAGTTGTAGTGGCTTGTAGATATGGATGAAAAAATTTAGGGCCACGACTAAATCAAAACACTGCAAAAAAAAAAAAACAGCACAAAATTGCCCGCTTCAGCGCAGGGCTACACTCTCAGTCAGCGCCAACAGACTCTCAATTCCACTCCCTCGTGCACACGCGACTCCCCTCCGCGCCGTTCTCTGACCTGAAAGTGCGCCACCACGCCGTGCCCCGGCGGCGCGTTCGGACCGCCGCGGCCGGTGGCCAGTACATCCAGGACGGTCACCAGACCCGGCTGGGGCGCTCCATTGCTGCTGGCGGCGGCTCCGGCGGCCGGGGAGACGGGCGGGGCGTACCGGCCGCCGGCCAGGGTGGAGGCCAGGCCCTCACCGAGCTCACGGATACCTGTGGACGGGGGGGGGGGGAGGGAGTGGTACAGAGGGCATGAGACAGGGTGGCGGATGACTAGACAGTGGTAATGAATGACAAATGGTTTCGATATGATTGAGAGCTTGCGTTGATGGCAAACGTCTTTAAAACTTTCACCTATTCTAATTCAGCTTCTACGTAATTAGCACAATTAGCGACCCAGCTTCTGACCAATCCTGGCTAGAAAAACCCTGACACGATGACGGTCCCTCCACTGATAGCACGTCAGTGTATACTAGCCATCGATTTTACGACACCCAACGAGCCAGGTAACGTCAAAGATAGCGGGATTTCACCAGCCAGTTGGGCAGCCAATGACGCGATTCCTCCAACAGGGGGATAAGATAACGACCCACCCCCACCCCGACCCGCCCACCAGAGGCCGGGAGGCACGGTGACAAACATCCACTGTCCCGACAGCCAGGGGAAGGGGTGACGCCCACCAGAGGGGAGGGTTGACGGCCGCCCGCGTGCCAATAGTGAGACCCTGACCCCGTGACCCTGACCAGGACAGGGAGGAGCGGATGGAGATACACCACCCTCACACGGGCCGCGGCAGCTGCCAGCTGCCGGTCGGGACGCCAGCTGGCACCGGGTGGCAACAACCAACCACAAAACACATAAAAAAGATCAAACAGCTTGGCGATAAAGACAAACGATAGCAGCTGGGCCATTCCAACTTTTAGGCTGAACTGAGTCATGTTTAAAGTAAAAGTAGGTATCATACACAAAGCTTGGTTAGATTACGAGTCACCAAACAGATAAAATGAAATAACACCCTTATTCGAAAAAATGGCGCGTAGGAAACCTCAGAGAAGCTCACTGCTGTGCTTATTTCATTATTCAATCTTTCCTCCACTCTTCGTCAATTCAGCTGATGACAAACAATAACCCACCAACTCCATACCCTATCGCGTTACGTCAGCGCGGCTGACACCCAGCCGTTACCCGGGTATAACTGACCTTTGCTGATGGATTTGGCGGCGTGCAGCATTGAAGCCGTGTAGCTGTGGGACGACTCGGCGTTCATACCGCCGCGACTCTGCAGGTAGCCCGTGAGGCGCTTCTCCCCGTACGCCAGCCATCTGAGCGTGGAGGAGAGGTCAGCAACTTTACTGGGAGATGGGGTATGGAAGGAACACATAATACCCTGAATGGAATGGTGTTGAGTCACCAGCTTCTCGTATTCTAGATTCATTTACTGTTCAAGCACCATTTTCATCCACAACTAGCTGCCAGGCACAGATAACCCCTCTCGTGATCCAACTCCTCCCAGACTCCAGACCCTTGACATCCGAGTCCTGATCCACTCATGATCCTCCCTCATCCCTTTGTCCCCTAACATGACATGACTCTGTCTCTAACCCCTTCCCTGACTGACCTGTGTCCCAGCGCCACCGGGTTGTCCAGCACTCCTGGCGCCGGGTAACAGGTGGTGACTGTGAACCGGTCCTCCAGCGTTCCGGCGTCAAACACCGCCAGCTTCCCGGGGAAGGTGACCACCATCACCCGGCGGGTGGCCAGCACCGCGCTGATCGCAGACTTGAACTTGACGCTCTTCACCTGGTGGGAGGGAGAGGGAGGGTGAAGGGGTGACCGAAACTAGGGAGAGAGTGAGGGGCGAATGGAAAGGCCCAGAAACGTCAGCGGGAGGGTGAATTGTGCAATGGATTAAAAGACTGTTTTTCTTTTCTCTGGAGCATGACAGGAAAGAAAACGAAGCTTGGAAATGTCAAACAAGCCGATGTATGGTACTTTATCAGTTGCCTACAGAAATTCCTTTTATTTTTCCTGTCAGACTCCGACGCTATCAGATTCCGATAGTGGACATCATTACTTCGGCCGCGTACACTCTGCATGGCTGGCTGGCATGGCTCACACAATGTCCTAGTTTATGATCACCGCATTCTCCTGCACTTCTTTCATACCCTGGTCCCATCCGCAACGCCTCCCTGGCTTGGCTCTTTCCGAGATCGCCTAATACCTCCCGCTAACCCTCACTGACCTGTTCACCGGTCCTCAGACTGATGAGTCCCACCGAGCAGAACTGGGTCTCACTGCCGGCGGCGTCACACACGGCCATCAGAGGCCGCTTCTGAACGTACAGGTCGTCCATACCGGTCTCGGGAGAGGGTAGGAGGCGGGCGTCACGCGCCACGCCCTGGCGCCAGGAGAGCACCTCGTGCGCCTCACCGTTACCCTGCAGCAGCCACACCTGTGGAGAGGGGAGCCGGCAGGGGAGGGTTACTGACGGTGACTGGTGATGACTGGACGAGTCAACAGTCACTGACTGACGGAAAGACGGCAATGCAGGTGGTTGTAAAGATGGTCAGACGAACGGACACTGAAAGACGGTCACTGACAAGCACGGAAGGTCATCCATAGACCGACGATCGACCAAAGGGTGATCGCTGATAGACAAACGGGAAGACCGCTATCGGTCAAGCCAGACGATCGGACAAATGGAATTAGGTGAGCAATGAGCATGACAGCCGTTGATTTTAACGGTCATAATAGACTGCATAACTCATCTACCCCGTGTCACATCCATCACGATTTACAGTCATTTCACTACTGCATAACCTGGGCGCTGTGTACCTGCCCGTACGACAGCGCCCACCAGTTATATCCCCGCCCTCGACTGTGGGGATATACTCCTCCCAGCTGTATCCCCGCCCATACCTGTACGCCAGTGGTGTATCCGATGACGAGTACCAGCGGCGCCACATTTCCGTTGGCCTCCATCTGCTCCGTGTAGCTGCAGATGTCATTGACGTCACAGTGCTCGAAGCGCGCCCATTGCACCGTCTCGCGGTGGTCGGCGCCCGACGACTGGTGAGAGTAGCTCGAGGGAACCACCTGAGAGGGGGAGAGAGAGGGCAAGTAGTGAGGTGATTGTACAAGTGTCTAATTACCATTATTTGCACTTATTTATTGTTAGAATACAGCCACAGATAGCATTCTAAATAGGATAAAAAATATAGTGGTGCTACCTGAATGCTGATTACATTGAGCCAAATCACCACAGCCAAGTCTCTATCTAACTCAAATTAATTGCTCACTCCGATCAATGACAATCACCGACCAGCACAACATCTCTGCATCCAGCCTCCTCACCAGGCCTTTCACGGTTCTCACCTCATTGATGATTCCAGTGACCGACTCCATGAAGGATTTCTCCGTGACCGTCTCGGGCCGGGCCGTTTGGCCGCAGGCGCGGCCCGGACGCCGCGCGTCCGCAGACATCGCTGACCCGCTGCTGGGGATAAATCAAGCAAAGGGTCAGGCAGCCTATGGGGAAACAATGTTCAGAAATTTAGTTTGTATGCTTTGGATGGATGAAATGATGAGCCAGAGACTGTGATAAGCAAAGCTTGTTGAGGAGGTCTAATTTTCATCCCCTGATAGGTAAATTCATTCTGGTTGTCATGGCAATCTAGAATCCAAAGTTTAGCATGCCAGCACAGCAGCTGGACATGGTACAATCTGTGAACCACTTACTGCCTGACTGTGGGGCGTGCACTGTCTTGCCCAACCAACCTCTACTGTCCCACCAACTGCAGAAATTGACATCTCAATCAGAAGTTTCTGATACTGGGTGACACTTTGTTCCCAGTACAGAAGGTGACAGTGGTGACTGGGTATGGGATGGGTACCTACTACATATCAATATGCAGCATCCCAATCCAGCCCACTGGCTGGACCTTCTAGCCCGCAACACCACTAATTCATATATTTTTGAGGTGTTGGCTTTTCAGCGTCACAGCTTCAAGTGTGTAAGTTTCTGACATTCTAACAACTGCCTGCAGTATCAATACAAGCTAACTCGCTTCTTACTGCCAGCACTTTTTATCAAAGTGTGCATACATTTCCTACTCCATCACAAGAGCATTACTTTTTGTTGTGATTGAGTAACTAGTGGATTCTACCATCATTTCTCATTGCTTTTTTATATGATTGCTGAGTGTGGTAAATGGTAACTGATCTTAACTTCTGGTCCATCTGGCTCACAGACTGGAGTGGACCCTAGATCCAGTCTCAACCCAAGAAATGAAGGTATTTATTTACTTTAGGACCGGCAGCCTTTACTTTCGTTGCGAGTCTCAGTCTATTGACAGAGAATATATCTTCTGTAGTTAGGAACTAGCATTGGTGGCATTTCCAAATGCAAAAAGGTAGGTAAAATTCAAAGCAAGCATTAAAACCAAAAAATGGTTCAAAATTAGGCATACCTACTGAATTCATACAACAAAATGGGTAAAAGTAGGACAAAGAGGACAAAGACAAAGAAACCTATTTCAATTTAGACATTCCACAAAGTTAATATTTGAGAGCTATGGGAAATGAGCAAGCTCAAAAAAAAGATTGCAAACAGCTAGGAATTAGCATATTTTCAAAATTATGCAGTCATCGAACGTTATAATAGTTGTTATCAAAGGGTTGAATGGAATGGCGCAGTTACTCTCCGCGATCAATTATGAAACATTGCTAGAACTAGTGGCTTTCCAAGTGATCATATGGAATGTTTTACTTACCAGACACTACCAATATGCGTAAGTCAAGAATACACAACCTTGAATCACTGGCTCGACGCCAAATTCAATGCAAAGAAATGAGAGTCCCCTCCCCGATGACGCGACCAGCTGCACAACAGCGACGTCCTTGAAAATCGCAAAAACAAAACAAAGGCCAGCCAGCTGACTGGGTGGCATCCATCAATAACCGATGATATTTTACAAATTTTCAATTTTATTTACAGAGAAATTTTGAGCGAAACAGCTTGAAATGCGAGAGAATCTTGAGTCCAATAAAAATGAAATGTCATTATTTCCGATTAGGCATTATGTAGGAAAACGTCGTTTTTTAGTGACGTTCAATCGGGACAGCGGCGGCGTAAGGGCCATGTGCAGTGGCGGATCCAGCCCGAGGTGTCAGGGGGAAGATATTTAAGAGATGGCCTTTCCGGACCCAAAACAGTGCAAGGGACGTGTGTTGCCCATAGCAGAGACCGTGAAACTGAGGGAAATGCAATGGCCTGGACCTGCGGTCGATATCGTACTTGCGAGTTGAGAGCCATCAGCCAGCAACCGAAAAGACCTGGATATCCACCGAGAGATCCGGGCTGCCTTCGACCAGCGACCAGCTAATCTTTTACATTATTCACTACGCCACTTTGCATCGCATCCACTGCCTACCGTCCGCGCCGTCGATCTGTTGGTGCGCCGGCCGGGACGTGGTGTGACGTCATCCGACCGGCTCGGCGCTGGGTAGTTCCACAGACACTTAGGTAACTCGCGGCCGGGACCACGGATGCTTCGATTGCCCGTGGCGACGGCCGCCGACGCGGTGCCCTCTACGGCCCGCGGTAAATGACCCGTCTGTCTACCGTCTGCTGTTAGTATCTGATGACCCAGTCCCACGACTGCCGAACGGCCGGCAGTCGGCTTATTTACTGCGAAACGGCACGACAAACTGATGAACTGGCGCCGCAGTAACGATGACCGTTCCACGAATCATCGCCCCACGTGTGGCCGTCACGTGCCGAATGTAAAGGGCAGACAATGAAATGGAGGCCTGACATGAGGCGTTCATAGAACGCCAACAAAGAACTCCAACCCGAACAGTGAAGATGTTCGAAAGGGGGAGAAGCGCCGAAGGAAGAAGCTCGCATACCGAAAGTGACAAAGTGTCCGATGACATAGATAGAACGGCTCCTGCGGTTGGAACGATACGGTTCATCGCATGGTATTGTCGTATCTGAGGCATATCCGTCATCGAAATGATAGTCGCAAGTGAACGTTTTTACAATAGCGGCGGAGGGCATCCTGGTGGGAAGGCACAGCCAAGTTGGTAGTTATACCATTCATACATCGGGGTCAGTGTGAAGACTGTGCCACAGCGAGCTCCCTGACGTTTACAGCTCGCATTGACCTGTGCACTTTGTTTGTGTCAAACACAGGCAGCGTCGTTGGGCTTTTCCACCACGTGGTGCAATAGACTGTGCAGTGTTGTCAAACAGGCGTTTGTCGCGTGTTGCTAGGGGCACCTCTGGGGTGCTACACACAGGTCAGGGCGGTTGAAGCAGGGTATATGGTTGAAGCGCGTACTAGCACGACGGTCCAAAATACGCCGAACCGCGGGCGAATATTACGGGAAATGTCTCGTATCCACGTTCTAACAATTTACAAAGTCCCGCAAAATGAAGTGAATGGGCCACTTAACTAGTGAACCCACAATCACATGCTAAACACAAATCAAAATACCGACACATACTCACGATTTTCGTCGCATTGTTGTTCCGTATTCGTGACGCAATTAGTTTTGAATCACCCACTCCTCACTCTCCACGGTACGAAGTACGAACCCATCACTCCCCCCTCCCCTTCCCACCCCCACTCCACACCACCCAGCGAACACAAAGACCACCGGTAGCCACCGACGCTCCCAGCGAACCGTCTCCGTCGCTCGCTGCCACTGCCCGCACACCGTGCCTGACACTAGTGGCCGCCGGGCGGGCGTCACTACCACCCCACGTGCCCCGCATCAGCTGGAACCCCTCCCCCGGCTCCCTGCTATACGGGGGGGGGGGGGCTGGACGGGGCGTGCCAACCGACTCCTTAGTGAGCGAGGAGGGGAGAGGGGATGGGGCGGGGAGGGGAAATTAACTGGAACGGACCTTGACCTTAAGGATCGCTCGCCAGAAGCTGTCCGCTCCAATCACCGAAGTTGATCAAAACTTCGTACAAACTTCCCGTGAACTGAAACACCATCGACCGTGCAGCCTCCACCTCGGAATTCGGAGTTCTGGCCCACCCTGGAGCCCCCTTTACCCCGCCCCTGCAGACGGATCAAACTGAGACTCGCCCGTTCCCATCGGACTCGTGGCTCCCCCCTTCCCCCCCCCCCCCCCCACCTGCCCTCTCCACCTTCAAACCAGTTGTCGACTATTCCCGAACCCGTTCGACGAAGAAAGGACCAGCGCCGCAGCCCCGGAGCGCCTGGAATCGCCGCGAAGTACCGGCCGACGCCCGGACCCGCCGCTAAGCTGCCCTCCCGGCGACCGTGCCGGGGTATCGAGCGGCCACGTTCGTGATTCATCCCTGCCAGCACCGCACGCCAACAGGTCACGGGGTCGATCCGTGAGGGGCGGCAGGCTGAGGGGCGGCAAGCGATCCGTGAGTGGCGGCAGCAGGCTGACGTTCGTGAGGGGCGGCAGGCAGTCCGTGAGGGGAGGGCTGAGGTTCGTGAGGGGCGGCAGGCTGAGGTCCGTGAGGGGCGGATACCCGGGTCAGGATATCACGTGACGCCTCATACACGCACCCCTGTTCCGGGAAATCGTGCTGATTAAGATCGACAGCGTGAAATGGGGGACGGAAGTGGAAAATCCGGGATTGGAGATGGCATTAGATGACCGAAGCTAATTGGAATAATGACCGTGCCTATATAACATAAAGGCATTTACCAAAACTCAAACGCTTGGAATGACTTAAATAGGAGGATTGGATGACATTATTCAACTGCCAAAGACCGCTTTTTAGCGTTGGCTTGATCTCGGTCACTATTTTTCGAGCTACATAGTTCGGAAATAGTCCTAGTTGAAGGTGCCCTGTTCCAGATTGTCGTCTTACGATCGATAATTTGAGCTTGACGTCTCCCACCCTCTTTGTTTTTCATCTTCCAAACTGCACAGGTGAACCCACTTTAGAGAAACTTAAGTGCGTTATTTGTATTATCATCATCATATCAGCGCAAGACGGACGTGCGAAAAGAACGTTAATTGAACAGGACTGGTACGCTCCCGCCTCCGGCCGGGTCAGGGCGGGTCAGTCGAGGGGCGGCCGGCGGCGGGGGCGGCGAATCACACGGAACATGAGTGGACGCCCACGGCGGATAGGGTGGCCGGGAGACAGCTGCTCCACAGCTTATCAGTTGACCACGTTGATCTGAAACAAACGAGCAACGCATTAGTGACCGGCAATGAAGATTCTTTCGAGAAAGACTTCAAGGAGATGATTTAAAATTGCTTGCTGGAAATGGCCAGAGCCGTCGAAAAATTCCGGCCCGCTTAACTCTTAAAACTACACCGGCAAATCAACTACCGAGTCGACCTGGACCGTTAGCCAAGCGCGAGACCTACGCAAGTCGCAGCCGCAACCCCCTCCCAACTAGCACCCCAAAGGTCGCCGGTTCGAGACTCACCACGTCGTCGATTTTCAGTATGGAGCAGACGGTCTCTGCGGCGAGCGTGATGGCCGACACGGAGACCAGCAGCGGCTGCACCACGCTCTCCTCCAGGATGTTGGTGATCTGACCGCGGCGCACGTTGATGCCGGCGTTCTGCGGACGATCACAGGAGGAAGGGAGGGGAACGTCAAGGTAACGACTCGGTAAACGCGAGACTCGGGCCATGGTCGGCGGTGGCGGGCCAGAGGTGAAATACATCACAGCTACAACGACACGGAAAACATGTTTAATTCCCCTCAATCCTCAGAAAACACGACCTCTTGTCGCTTCGTCCAAAATCCTTCCCATGCTAGTCTGTCATACAGTCAACACTTCTTGCTACGACCGTCATCAGAGCTCGAAACACCCAGTCCCCTGTCGTGATCTCGAGCTCCGGGGACCCGGAGACCCTGCCCAATGCCCATCATTGCACGGGAACGCCATTCAAGCGGCTATTCCGAGGAAATGCTGGTGGTTCACGGCGGCTGACAGTGGCACGGCAGACTATTATAACCAGAAACATATGCACACTGCAAAGTCCGGTGGCCTAACTGTCCGCTATCCCGACCTGTTGACGACTACATAGCATAACCACAGGAGTAAACACGCGCAGCTGCCTTAAACGCTAGATCCAGCCATCCTCCACCAGGTCTCCAGCGCTGAGTAGAGCTGGATCCAGCGTGAATACGGACAACCCCAGTTTACACAAACAAACCACGAACTAACCAACCCGGTCACCTTGAGACAGAGACCCTCCTGGCCCAGCCACCTGGCCGACAGGCATGTCCAATCACCTGCTGTCCCCTCCCCTTCCCGGCCCACCCCACCAGCTGCCAACCGATGGTCACGGAGTGGTCTCAGACACCTGGCACGGTAAGTTCAACTGGCCAGTGGATGGTGACAGGTGGTGAACAAACGAGTGGTGTTTGCCAGTTCGATGACGAAAAACACGGGCGACCTAGTGTGATAAATGTAAAATGCTCGGCGCGCATACATAATTAGAATTGAGATGCAGCCTGGCGTCTGTACTGCAATAGGGCGATGTCCATCACCAGGCTAAGATAACTTTCTTACAAAGTTGGGAGCAATCATGTTAGGCGATAAAAATAAGATCCCTTGCGCAGCTGATTCTGGCCGCAGTTGGAGGCACTAGTCGGTGGGTCATGGCCACCATGTCCACAATGAGATGCATCGAGGCCGATCGTTTTACCAATATTGTGTTCCAAATGGCATCATTAAAACGATTGATATGAGCCTAAAACCAGTCACGATGCCATTTCCAGAACACATTAGCCGCAAATCAATAGCAATCGGTTAAATATTAGCCTCAACATAATAAGACCAATAAACAGACAATAAAACACGAAAGCATGTAACTCATCACTCTATTGCCTTTCATTTTTAAGTTAAGCAGCTCTGACATTCAATATCAGCCTTCATTGGCCATTTCTCGACGCCAATCTTTGTTTGCCCTCTCCACACACTCGAAGTCCCATTACAGTCTCCCTGGCATCCCAAAGTTTTTTTTTTAATAATTTTCCAGCCGCATGTCCCTCCACGTCCCTACCTCTCCAGTCCACACCGTCCTCTCCAACTCTCCCAACTGTCTTCCTCGCTCCTCTCCCGGCCTCTCACCTTCTCTCCCTTGGCGTGCCGGTTGCGCAGCTCTGTGACCGTCACGATAGGGTTGAGACCAGCGTTTTCTGCCAGTGTGTACGGTATGATCTCCAGGGCGTCGGCGAACGCCCGGAAACAGTAGGCCTCGACTCCGGTCAGGGTGTGAGAGTGCTCGGAGAGCCGCAGGGTCATCTCCATCTCCGGGGCGCCGCCGCCGGCGATCAGAGCCCTGATGAACGGGAGGGGTAAGGGGTAACGTTCGGGAGGGGTGTGTTGAGGGTCAACGAGACAAGTGTAAGACACCCAGGCTCGATTTAACTCACAGAAGTGCTTCTTGTTCTCTCAGTCGAAACGCACGGATTTTCTCATCCAACAGAAGTAGGGCCAGGGGTGGAGAAATATGCCGAATTGGGGTTGCACGGGCGCAACAAATCCGCCGCCGCCCTGGCGGTGACCTTGACCTCCGCTGTCTGGTGCGGCTCCAAAGCCAAGCCGGCGCAGCCGGCGTGGAATTGGGAAGACTCGTGCTACCCCAACTCGGCACATTTGCCCACCCCTGAGTAGGGCTCAGGATGACGAAAATATCACGCAAGTCACGAAAATCCACACCGCTAGCATATCTGATTAGACACGTTTGAAACCGCGACACGGCAACCCCAACGTTCGACCAGATTTTAATGCCAGATAATGGTATAAATCTCTACCTAATTGCAAAAGCGGCGGCCGCGCTATGACAATATAATGCGGTGCTCAATATTTTATGTGAAAAGACGCTTATGTCAGACAATCTATCGCATGAAATGTTTCGTGCAAAATTACATTGAAACCTGGTCTTAAAGGGTGGCTTATATAAAAATGCTTTTGCCGCTTCCATCAAACAAAAGTATTTTCAATTACTTCTTCACATTATTGTTATCACTTCTGTAATATCAAACCCGTGTCTCCTAGTGGTCCCGCCCAATCCTTCAGTGCACACTCTCTTTCATCCTCGTATCTCCATAGTGACTTTTTCTGACGACGCATTCCCGTGCCCCCTCCTTCGTTCACTGCCCTTACATAACTTTTTCTATATCCGAAACACATCCATAGAAGTTTTTATTACCGCATCACGTCCGGTACTGACCGTTTTTTGACGAGGCAGCGGATGACGCAGAGGGCGTCGTGCAGCGATCGGTCGGCCTCCTCCAGCACCAGCTTGTTGCTGCCGCGCAGCAGCACGTTCACCGTACGGCCGCGGTTCTGCACGCCCGTGATCTGTGGCGAGAGGAGGGAACGGCGAGTGTAGGTGAGGGACGCGAGGGCGAGGTGTTCACAAGCCAGGAGGTGACCGGACAGCTGGTATAGGTAAGCAGGAGGGCAGCTTAAAGGACATTGATTAGTGCAGAGGAAGACAATAATTACATTGCCACTTGACAATTGCTATAAAAACACGTCCGCATAATGCTAGAGTAGAAACCACGCATGGCTTCAAACAAAATCGATCTCCCAGTCAATAAACCTAGCAGGCAAGTGCTGTCCAATGGAGGCAATATAGAGCCCCCAGGTATGCATACTGTATATATTCGTACTTCCGCCTGTCTGCTATACCGGCCTCACCTTGACCATTTTGCTGCTGCCCGTTTGGATCTCCTCGGCCAGCTCGGCCGTGGCCAGCGTGTCGGCCGTGAAGTGGTCCAGAGACGCCGCCGGCCGCACGTTCAGGCTCTTACACACGTACTCAATGTCCTCCCGCTCGATGTCCTTGATCACCATGATCTTCATCTTGGCCAGGAAGTGGTGCGCCAGGTCGCTCACCGCGTCCCTGTGGTTCAGAGGTCAGGTCAGATGGGGTTATGGCAAGGTCGTGACATATGGTAAAAACAAGAATGAAATGAGCGACGAAGTATGTGCTTATTTGCTGTCGATTACGCAATTGGCTAAAAGCATAAGTTGCACGGTATCATCTAATCTAACAAAAAACCCACGGAAAAGACCGATCGATTTCAACATTCAGAGCCAGCACTAATGATTCTCGGATATAATGATCATTTGTCACATCCGTGGTTTTTCATTTATTTGAAAACATCAACATCAACAAATTAAATTATGCAGTGCTAGATACGTACTGCAGCGACCTGATGACAGCCCAGCAACAGAAGGCAATTCACGCAAAACGAAACCGGTTTACGCGTGTGCCAACGCCCTCGATAATCTCGATGTCCACAATCCACATATCTGGGCATAAAAACAGCTCAGCTACTGAATGCTACTACCGTCTACCATCGTCACAAACCGGTTCCTTTCCGGGCGCGGGCGTTGCTACCGACCTGAGGATGGACTTTTGTACGAGCAGCACGTTGCAGCCGGACTTTTTGATCTGTTTGACGATGTTGAGCAGGTACTGCCGCTCCTCCCGCAGTACCCGGTCCATGGCCGCGTAGTCGGATACCACCACCTGGTTGTCCATCTGAGGACAGGGCAGAACATGTGAGCATAAATGGAATATAGCGATGGAGAGTGAAACTAAGCAGACACTCCCATGAGCTGATCAGAAGAACGAAGATCAACTGCTGTCGCCATACAGACTGACAGTCGAGCTGAAAAAAACTTTCATAATAAACGTTGCTTTTTCATTGAATTTTCGTCGGATGAGTTAAAGCACAAACCAAGGGCTTCATGGCACATAGATGGGCAACCAAGACTTTAACGCAACAAAACCGGATGACGACCAAAATAACATCTCGCCCGACGCTGCCAAACACGTCCACAACCCAACCAGACTATCCTCCTCCCACGTCGGACCCTGTGACTGTGACTCACGTCAGTCTTGGGTGGCGAAATGCAGAACTGGATGAGGCCGATCTTGGGCTTGTCCACGCGCGTCGGTCCGCCGAAGCTGCTGCTCTTCTGGTCGAAGAGCACGCCGTCAATGAGCTCGGTGTCCTCAACCACGCCTCCCAGCTTCTTCATGATCTTGATGTCCTGTGGAATGGTGCATTGAAAACGATGGTGAACATGATATTGATGTCCTGTGGAGTAATGCATTGAAAACGATGGTGAACATAGCTGACCAGTCAATTGTTGAGTGCAGGCGAACCAGGCTCTCACTAAAGCGTCGGATGGCTCACGAGACGGCCAAGCGAGCTAACAGGAATTACCCTACCTGTAATACATCATTTTAAATCAAATATATCAATCTCCCTCAGTTCCACGTTCATCCCACACACTCCACAGTCCATACACCATCTCTACCCACCTTGAGGTCGACATTGGTATCCTTGGCCGGGTCGATGACCTTCAGCACGGCGTCCACCGAGGTTGCCGCCAGGGTGCCGGCGTGCTGGTGGACCACCTTCGAGTTGAGCGATGTGGAGGCTGACTTGAGCAGGCTCTCGCGATCCGAGAGGTCCACCGGGGTGGCCATGTCGGTCAGAATCTCGGAGCACTTCTCGCCAGCGCGCAGGAACGACTCGGAGATGGCCGTGGGGTGGATACCACGTGACAGCAGCTTGGCCGACGCGTCCAGCAGGGCGCCGGCCAGGATTACTACCGACGTGGTGCCGTCGCCGGCCTCCGCGTCCTGTGCCTTCGACAGCTCCACCAGCTGAGGGAAATAAAGGGCAGTCATTGATGGGCATGATAGGTGCCAATAGACACAAACGACGATCAGCGATGTAGGTAAATGGAGTCTTGAACAGGTCTATTCTATCAGCTGAAGAACTGAACTAAAGAGGGCAACCACTGCGATGGAGAGGGAATTCTTGGGCACATCCACAGGGTGGCAGGCTACATAATTCTACTAATGAATAAAAGCACATTGAAAAGCTGCACTAGCTGCAAGTCTGCACTCAATAGTAGACCCATTATAATTGACACAGAGGACGTCTGGTAGCTACTAATTAATCAACTGGCAAATAGACACAGACAATCAATGACAAATTTGGTAGTGATCTGCTTGCAGTCACAGCTAGGTGTAGTTTAGTTTTAGTTACCATTTTGGCTGCTGGGTGAGCCAGTTTCATTTGCTGCAGGATAGTGGCACCATCATTGGTGATTGTGACATCACCCTTGGGCTCCTGGATCTGAAAAAAAGATTTACATCATTAGGCATGAAAAAATGGAATACAAAATAGGTTCATATAGAGAGCAAGGCAAGAGCAAGAGACAGCTAGGTTACGACTAATAAAAATGTTGGCATAAAAAACACACACAAGTGTTTGGTCAAAACACCGCCATCCACCTTAGTAAAGAACAGCCGCAAAGGAATGCATCATAGTTTACACTAAATACTATTTATATACTTTGTGCTAAAAACAAGACCTCAAGAGCCAACACAGATCTCACTTGTCACCATGACCATTACCATTTTGTCCATTCCTTTGGGTCCAAGGCTGGTTCTGACAGCATCAGCGACAGCTGGAAACAACACAGGGGAATTGATTCATTACTCATCGTTGACCAGAGCATCACAAAAAAGACAGCTTGACATGCCTGTGAGGTCACAATCAATCACTTCCACTATGATAACATTTAATCATCAAGGCAGCCAGGACTCAAGGAGTGCAAACAATATGATGAACCACTCTTTTGACAAAGTTGAGCAAGCTGCAGTAATATGGACCTTATAACTTGAAAAAAAAACAAGAAATGAGTCTGGGAATGTTACCTGGGTGGAAGCGATAGGAGACAAGGAATATAAGATTTGTCAATGCAAATGCAGGTGCCCATGAATCTCAGTCTCAAAAGGAGTCAAAGGATAAGATAAGTACCTATAGTTTTGGCAATCTCATAGCAGGCATCTCATATGCTGCCGCCTGCCACCCATTTACGTTAAATCATTTCACTTCAGTTCCTGAAATATCTACATGAATTTTGCTGTAGGCTGCACGTTGGTACATTGTAGGTTTGTAGGCTTGTAGGTTGTACCTCAGTTAGAAGGTAAGGTAAGGTCAGGTTAAATTATGTTTTGCTCTGTAAGACTATCTGGTTAGACTTTTAACTTTTTAAGCAAAATTTGTGTGAATATCTAAACAACTTGAGAGTCTTTATCAGTTATCTCATGGAGTCTAGCGACTTTTCAAAGATGGGTGGAGACATGTGACAGTCCTGCTATAAAAATACATAATAATATAACATAAGATAAAGGAATATAATAGATTTAAGTTATTCTTATGTATAAGAATACGAGTCAAAATTTTTGCACTAACACACAACATATCTATATTCTGGACACAGGAAAACAGAAAGGAACAAAATTCAACCCTGAAAAGGCATGTGGATTTTATCTTCAGTTTGACTTGACCCACCAATAAGAAACCATGAAACAACAGCACAATAACAGTAAATGGTGAACAAACAGCACTCAGTGTTGCATTACTCGCGGCACGGCAATACAGATAAGTTAACTGATGCAGGTACCAGAATCCATTTTTATTTGCTTTCAAGAGTTTGTAGTTTCTATAATCAGTCTGCAACATTTAGTGTAATTGGACCCAGTTTGGAGCATTATTGAGGGTCGCATGAGCATGCGTCTCTTTAGCATGAGCATGGGTTTAACATACATGGAAACTTCTAGTGATTCTCAGGCTAAATTAGTACTGACGCCTTGGTACCAAACAAGAAAGGACATGACTACTAGTTAAGAGAACAACTACAGTGAAGTTGGACGCTTCATTCGCAAGGCTACGCGTCCTATTCCAACAACACAGGCTAATTACCTTTTGCCGCAGTGATGCTGCTGGCCCTGATTTCTGCAGGTTTTGTCTTATCTTTGAAGGCGGAATGCTGGTTAGATGATCCCACTGCTCGAGCAGGAGCGGGTGCCTTGGCAGCAGCAGGCTGTGTCATGATTGAACTGTGTCACACCACTAACAAAGATGAGATCAAATAATTATAAACGAAATAGCCTAGAATGCACCTGCTCTGCCGCCGTGAAACCGAAAAGACACTCCCTTCTCAACAAAGCGTTCGCGTTGGTCACGAGGGAAAGCATTCGCTATTCCTTATATTATGACGTCGTTACATGTAAAACGGCATAGAACGCTAAATTCCACGAATAGAAATGCAGTATTTCAATTAATGACGTCATATTTATAACATTTGAATTCCAAAGAAAATCACCGGCTTTCGCTTTTTGTATTTGCTGCGCCATATATGTATTGAAAGGAATTTTAAGAATAGTCTAGAAGTGCAAAATCTATGACCCATCTGCGACCGAAAAATACATTATTCAACAAATATCCACAAACCATACGGGTAACCATGCCAAAAACTCGTCACAGTGCACAAATGATTATACGGTACGAATATTTAAAACCTTTTTGATAACTATTTTTTAAAATAATTTTATCTCTTTTCGGCCTATTGAAGTTATTTCATGCTTTGGCAGCAGCAGTTCTTCAAATTATTGCTGCCAAATGTACTCAGAGAATTATGGCGCTAAAATAAGCTAGGGCGCAAGGCACTATATACCCTAGGGCGTAATTTGAATTGTAAATTGCATGGAAGTTCCCACGAAGTTCCCAAGTCAGTATATGAAGTTCCTATCTTTTTGGATTTGTTATTTGAAGGCATATAGGGTCTTAACCTCTATATCTATAGCCTTGAAAAGGGATTTATCCAGGCTGCTGTGGTATTTTGTCTCAAAATTCCTTGTTTTTAGTGGATAGCTTGTAGTGGTAGTTTGTAGTTTAGGTATAATGTTTTTACCCCAACCAAGACGGAAAATTGTATTGGGAAGTTCTATCTTGGGTCGGTTGGTAGGTGATGTTGGGGCAGAGTCAACCAAAATTGTGTAGGGGTGGTGGTGTGAAGGACTGCCGACATTGCTTTGAATGGGTCTGAAGAATAAGAATCAGTCGGGCGCACTGTGGTATCTCCGATTCATTTATGGAGACGTTTCTATTATTGGAAACGTTTCCAATTTAGACTACTCTTCTGTTCCAAAAATGGAAACGCTCGTTCCATAAATAGAAACGCTAACATCTCCGCACATATTTTCTTGCCAAGGGTGGCTGAATTCGATGTATAACAACTGTTTCGCGTAAAACAAGCTCAGATACACCAAAAGCACTTGTCTTCTTGCATGGAAAGCTGTCGTATGCATTAAAATTCACGTCTTTAATCGTATCCATTTATGGAGACTTAGTTTCCAAAAATGGAAACGCCGATGTTCCAAAAATGGAAACGCTGAATTTCAAATGTGTGCAAACTTAGCTTAAATGTGTTTTTAAAATTCACATGCAACTAAAAATTTGATGTTTTGGGACTGGTTTAGCATCTCGGCTCTCGGCAGTTACCTTGGACGTCGGGTTCGATAATAATACCTTACGCGTCGCAACTTGAGCACATTCAAAAGTCAACTAAAACTAAGATTTCCCAGAAACTACTGGACAGATGTGGTCCAAAGTGGGCAATACATAAAGCGTAGATATCATTTCAATATATAAAATTAATATCAATGTTACACATGAGCTAGAATGAATAAATTCATCGTCAGAATACAACGGTATTTGGTGTGACGACGGTGCAGACCTTATTTCCATCCTGCTTTTTACGTATTTGCACGGAGATTTACGTTGATCCGAGCCTACGATCATATTCAGCACATTTGAAATATCATAAAATGCCCACTTAAGTCTCCAAATAGGGCTTTGCAACAACTTGCATGCGATTTAATCAAAGATTGACGACCACCAGGCCGCTGGTACACCGGAAAACGCAGCGTGAAAATGAATGAAAAACTGAAGTTCCCGGTGATGTGGTTGTTCCAATCAATGGGTCAGTCTTTCAGTAGTCTGTTAAAAACGTTATTTTTTGTTCAAAACATTCATAAATGTTATTATTTTCGATTAGAAAAACGTGTGATTTTTTTATCACGTCAACATGTTATAAGCATCGCCTCGTTCGTCAACTTTCGGTTTTCTGATCGGAAAGTCGGAGAACAGGAACATAAACTAGAATGCTGGCTGTCGATTGGTGGCATCCTGCGCATGCCAAATTGCACCAATCAATGCCCAGTTTGCTTTAAAGGTAGCGATGCACAGGGCGTCTCCATTTATGGAACAGATCGTTTCTATTTTTGGAAACGGCGTATCCATTTTTGGAACATTGTTCCAAAAATGGAAACGTTTCCATAAATGGATCGGAAATACCACAGTGTGCCTGACTGGAATAAGTGTTATTGTTATGTAGTTAACTATCTATTGTCATTGACTAGGCTGTGTTGAAAGTATTTACAGGGTGTGTGCAATTTGTATGAATGTTAATGGGTGGCATGATTGTGAGCTTACAATGTTATGCCCTTTTAATGTGCAATCTTTTTTGTTCCAGGTGTGCCTGCTCATGAAAAAAGTATTCTGTGTACTGAAGGTATAAAACCAGATGGATAGCTCTGGCATACAGAGTCCTCAATGCAACAGCACTATGAAACCATCAAGTACAAAATGTGTGGGAGGAAGTTTGCTTCAGTTCTTTCAAAAGAAGGTTGAATTGCCTCAGTCACATACTGCAGAGACTGAAAGGAGTGAAAAGCCTGAAACCCTTGGAAATTTACCTTCAGAAGGACGAGAAAAGGTAAATGGCACTGTATCATCCAAAGAACAGGATGCTCACAAAAGAAAAGGGCATGCAGAGAGAAGAAGACACTCAAGAAATGAAACCAGAGCTCAGAATTCAAGCAGTGCATCTGAAAAGACTGAATTGGAGAATATCAAAAGCAAAAAATCAATCAACAATGGTGCCAATGATGAACCCAGAAAGCCAAAGCCATCTGATCATGAAGAAGATTTGAAGGACAAGAGTGCATCTAGATTATCCTCACAAAACCCTTTCCAGATTCTTATGCAGTCTGGGAAAAAGAAAGGGGTGTGGGATAAACCAGCTGCTAAAGCCAAAGAAGCAGAAGCCATGCTATCAGACGATGAGTGTGTTGAACTGTGTAAGGAAAAGAAGGACGAAAAAAGGACATTGCCTGGGGAAGGTGAAGCCAAACCAGAAAATGTGAAATATTTTTCCATCTTCTCACCAAAGGCTAGAAAAAATCAGGTTCAGTCTGGTTTGGACAATGATGCTAATTCAGACACTCCAAACAAAGGTGATAAAGTAGACAAAACTTCTAAAAAGTCTGGAGCTCAGAATTTGGCTAAAGAGAAGCAGAAGTCCTCAAAAAGTAGCCAAAGATCATCAATAGCTGGAAAAGAGTCATCCAAGAGAAAGAAGTCATCAGAAATATCTGAGGATAATACAAACAAGGTCAAGTCCAAGAAATCCAAGTCAAGTCCAAGAGATTCAAAGACATCTGTGGATCACAGTGAAAGATCATCTGAAATTGCTCGCAAGAGAAAAGGGATTGAATCAGAATCTGTTACAAAGGTGACACCACACTCAACACCCAAAAAGTCGCGCCTCAAAGTTACTAGCGACAGTGATTTTGAACCTGAGGATGTGAACAGTGGCAAGCGCAAGGGGCGGACGCCGTCCAAATCCCAGAGCGGTAGCAGCAAGCGTCCCCGTACTGACTCCGCAGCACGCACCGATGCGAAGTCTCCCACCAAACCAGCGACTCTGTCCGCCGCCCAGAAACTCGTCAAAAAATCGCGGAAACAGGCGAAACGGAGATCTGGCGACGCGTCCTCACGGCGCGAGTCAGCCTCCTGCACCAAAGCCGGAGCGAAGCAGACCCTGCTGACGGCAGGACGAAAGCCTGACGACGCGTCTTCCGCTGCCTCCGCCACGGCCAGTCCTCGGCGCCAGTCGAGTCGGGCGGAGAAGAAGCAGAGCCGAGCAGCTCCGAGTGACAGTGAACTCGAGTTCACCCCGGGACGGAAGTCGAGCAGTCGACGGAGAGACGCGAACGCAGACACTACGCCCCGGCATACCTCTGGACGGAAACGGTCACGGACCGGACGGAACCGACCGACAGAGACCAGCGGGAGCGAACTGGAAGTCACGCCTGTGAAGAAACCAACCAAGCGAACATCTACAGTCACTCGGCGCCGACTCAGTAGCACGGACATCGAAGTGCTACCTTCAGTCGTCGAGTCCGACGGACCGCGACGCTCTCCGGAGCGGCGCCGCTCGTCCCGTCCTCGGAGACCAATGGTGCTCAGTGACAGCGAGGTGGAGTCGTCACCTGTTAAACGGCCCGCCCGCCGGTCCCGTGCTGCGCCTCCCTCGACCGCCGCTGACGGCGAGTCGCCGGCTCCGCGCCGCTCCTCCCGTCCGACCCGACCGGTCCGCCGGCTGAGCGACAGTGAGGTCGAGGTCAGTCCCATGAAGAAGCCTGCGCGTGGAAAACGCTCGTCTGCGGTGGATGACCCGGAGGTCGTCCTGGTGCGATCTCGCTCTGCGGGTCAGCCGTCAACCGGCGCGCGGCCCGCTCGCGGCGGTGTGGACGCGTTCCAGATGCTCCGCCGCGGCGGCCGGCCTCCCAAGGAGACGGCTGCAGAGAAGGCTGCTAATGAGGCTCGGCGTGCCTTCCTGGCTAGTGGAGTTCCAGAGCGACTGCAGGTGCAGGCGGAGGTGGCCAAGTGAGTGTGACAGGGTCATGGGTCGGTATTTCTGTCGCGTGTGTAGAGTAGCGCACTGCTCAATATTTCACCCTCAGCTAGTTATTTTTGGATAGTTCATCGATTAGGTAAAGAATGGGATGTATTTTCGCTCACGGACCTTATTGTGATGTAAATGCAATGTTTATAAGCCGCGGTATCGTAAGCACCCTAAAATTTTCGATAAAAATGTAAAATAATAAAATAAATTTTCGATAAAAAATATAACTTCGCTCCGTTCTTTATTACGTTCTCTGTCGAATTAATTATCCTCTCACCTCTGACTTTGGCGTGTTTCCACTTTCCACCCTCAGGCGTTTGGAGGAGTCGCTGACGCCTCTGTTCCCGGAGGTGAGCCACGTCCTCCAGCGCGGTGACGATCAGCCGGCCGCTCTGCCGGGGAGCCCTCCCCCGCTGCCGCCCGGTCTGAGCTGGGTGACCGAGCCGCTGCAGCCGTCACCGCTGGCTGTGAACCTGACGACTCCAGTCGGTGATCTGGTTCCGGGTGTGGCGACTCTGCTCGGCAGGAAACCTGAGACGCCAGAGGCGGCGGCCGATGTAGGTGCCGGCGGGGATGCTAGCGGTGAGGTGACGTCCATTGCTGATCCTAGCACTGAGGATGCGGCGAAGACGGCCGTCGACCCAGGCGAACCAGCCGACTCCAGTTCGTCCCCGGCCTGCCTGCCCCGTCTCTCCCAGCCCGAGTGTGCCGCCTCTCTCCGCCAGCTCCTGGACGCACTCAGCGAGTCCTCCACCCCCGTCCCCTCTGGTACTACCTCCTCATCAGCCACCTCCACCGGCGCTGCCTCCACCACCCCCTCCGCAGGCCCGTCTCTCTGGACGGACAGATTCCGACCGCGTCACCACGACGCGTTCGCCGGCGCCTGTCTGCCGGCCGGTGACCTGCACGAGTGGCTGGCCGAGTGGCGCGCCCCCTCGTCAGGAGTAGACTGGGAGGATGACGGCAGCGAGGAGCCCGCCTCGGACGGCACCGTGCTGCTGCTCGGACCGACCGGCTGCGGTAAAACCAGCGCCGTGTACGCCGCAGCGGCGCAGCTCGGTTTTCAGGTGGGTACGCCAATGCGTGGCTGGTGAACAAGTAACCGAGTTCAAAGGGGGTGGTTTTCGTTTTCCATCGTTTTTACCTAGACAACCCGGTCTGATTTTAAGGGTTGGCCTCATAGTTGCAGCAAAATTCATGATACGATTACATGTCCGCGCGCAATTAGATATTTCAACTCGTGCAGTTACAAATGATAAAAATGGCTAATCCCGATTTTCAAACTGTCCACTGTCCAGCCTTCACTCTCTTTTTACCCGTGTGGCCCTGCCGTGACAACCAAGAAAAGCGTAACTCGCATTTTTTCGATTTTGAGATTTTGATACCATTAGATAGAGAATAGCAATCTCCATCTTTCTGCAAAACCGTTTTTCGAAATTCGTATAATTTTTCGAGTTATATCAAATTTTCTTTTTCGAGAAAAGCGTAAATGTTTTTCATCCTCCCTGACCGCAAGCAAAAAAAGCGTAACTACAAACGCAGCTATTAAAAAAGCGTATCTGCAGCGGTCAGGACGATGTGATAGGCAAGAAAAGCGCAACTAAGTAGTTGCGCTTTTCTTGCTTATCACCGCGCTGGCTTTTACGCACTTGCGCTTTTTTTTGCCTTTCAGGTGAGTGCATAACACTTGGTAGAAGTTTAATTTTGCCAGGAAAATTTGCATTAAAAATATATTAAGCCCTTCTTGCCTGCGTTTGCCGCCTTTCTATGTTTCACCAATATCTTCTAGTAGGTATCCTGGCGTTTGAATGGAGGAAAACTGTAAGATAAAACCAACCAAAGTTCAAAACCACCAACTTGAAATAGTAGGTATAGGTATGGGGTGCCATGCCATACCCTAGACCAAGGCCACACGAGCGATATCCAATAGTTTACTTTATTTATTGTGGTGCATGCTCGCTGTGAACATTATCAGAAGCGTGTGCAAATTGCGGTTTAGGAGCAGACTTGGTCTCTGAAGAGGTTTAGAACTGAGGCGATAAAAAAAAAAAACGGAACAAAAGTCCACGTGCAGCTAAAGGAAAATGTGAAATCAGGAGTAGAGTCGAGCGAGTTCTGGTGAAATAGGACGATCAGGGGCGGGATCTTCCCACTTGCATTTCGACATCCCAGCATTAAGAGAGGCGACCCAACCCCACATGGCCGCCCGGCCAGCCAGCACCGGCAGAGCTGACCATATGGCCGCCCGGCTTGCCCGGTCTGCCAGCCCCGACAGGGGCGAGACCCCAAGGCCTGACCTGCCAGCACCGGCATAGGCGACCCAACGGCCCCACGCCCGCCCGGCCTGCCAGCACCGGCAAAGACGACCCCACGGCCGCCTGACCCGCCAGCATCGGCAGAGGTGACCCCACGGCCGCCCGGCTGGCGGCTTGCCCGACCTGCCAGCACCAGAAGAGGCGATACAAAGGCCGCCAGGCTTCCCGACCTCCCAGCACCGACAGGGGCGACCCCAAGGGAGCCTGACCTGCCAGCGTCGAAGGAGGCGATCCCACGGCCGCACGACCTGTCCGGCCTGCCAGCACCGACAGATGAAATCCCGCGGCCACCAGGACTGCCAGAACTGACAGGGGCGACCCCAAGGAAGCCTGACCTGCCAGCACCGAAGGAGGCGACCCCACGGCCGCTTGGCCTTGCAGCACCGACAGAGGTGACCCCACGGCCGCCCGGCTTGCCCGACCTGCCAGCACCGGCAGAGGCGACCCCACGGCTGCCCGGCCTGCCAGCAACGGCAGAGGCTACCCCAAGGCCGCCAGGCCTGCCAGCACCGGCAGAGGCGACAACGTGGCCGCCCGGCCTGCCCGACCTGCCAGCACCGGCAGAGGCGACCCCACGGCTACCCGGCCTGCCAGCACCGGCAGAGGCGACAACGTGGCCGCCCGGCCTGCCCGACCTGCCAGCACCGGCAGAGGCGACCCCACGGCTGCTCGGCCTGCCCGGCCTGCCAGCAACAGCAGAGGCTACCCAAGGCCGTCCGGCCTGTTCGGCCTGCCAGCACAGACAGATGAAACCCCGCGACTGCGCGGACTGTCAGAACTGACAGGGACGCAAACGTGGCCACCCGGCCTGCCAGCACGAAACAAAGCGACCCCACTGCCGCTTAGCCTTGCAGCACCGGCAGAGGTGACCCCACGGCCGCCCGGCTTGCCCGACCTGGCAGCACCGGCAGAGGTGACCCCACGGCTGCCCGGCCTGCCAGCAACGGCAGAGGCTACCCCAAGGCCGCCAGGCCTGCCAGCACCGGCAGAGGCGACAACGTGGCCGCCCGGCCTACCCGGCCTGCCAGAACCGGTGGAGGCGACCCGACGGCCGCCCGACCCGCCAGCACCGGCAGAGCTGACCATACGGCCGCCCGGCTTGCCCGACCTCCCAGCACCAACAGGGGCGACCCCAAGGCCGCCCGACCTGCCAGCACCGGCATAGGCGACCCAACGGCACCACGGCCGCCCGGCCTGTCAGCACAGACAGATGAAACCCCGCGGCCGCTCGGACTGTCAGAACTGACAGAGGGGAAAACGTGGCCACCCGGCCTGCCAGCACGAAATGAGGCGACCCCACGGCCGCCCGACCTGCCAGCACCGGCAGAGTTGAGCCCACGCCCTCCCGGCCTGCCAGCACCGGCAAAGACGACCTCACGGCCGCCTGACCCGCCAGCATCGGCAGAGGTGACCCCACGGCCGCACGACCTGCCAGCACCAGAAGAGGCGACCCAAAGGCCGCCATGCTTCCCGACCTCCCAGCACCAACATGGGCGACAGCCGACAACGTGGCCGCCCGGCCTGCCCGACTTCCCAGCACCGACAGGGGCAACCCCAAGGAAGCCTGACCTGCCAGCACCCAAGGAGGCGACCCCACGGCCACTTGGCCTTGTAGCACCGGCGGAGGCGACCCCACGGCCGCCCGAATTGCCCGACCTGCCAGCACCGGCAGAGGCGACCCCACGGCTGCCCGGCCTGCCAGCAACGGCAGAGGCTACCCCAAGGCCGCCAGGCCTGCCAGCACCGGCAAAGGCGACAAGGTGGCCGCCCGGCTTGCCCGACCTGCCAGCACCGGCAGAGGCGACCCCACGGCTGCCCGGCCTGCCAGCACCGGCAGAGGCGACCCCACGGCTGCCCGGCCTGCCAGCAACAGCAGAGGCTACCCCAAGGCCGTCCGGCCTGTTCGGCCTGGGCATAGGCGACCCAACGGCACAACGGCCGCCCGGCCTGCCAGCATAGACAGATGAAACCCCGCGGCCGCTCGGACTGTCAGAACTGACAGAGGGGAAAACGTGGCCACCCGGCCTGCCAGCACGAAATGAGGCGACCCCACGGCCGCCCGACCTGCCAGCACCGGCAGAGTTGAGCCCACGCCCTCCCGGCCTGCCAGCACCGGCAAAGACGACCCCACGGCCGCCTGACCCGCCAGCATCGGCAGAGGTGACCCCACGGCCGCCCGACCTGCCAGCACAAGAAGAGGCGACCCAAAGGCCGCCAGGCTTCCCGACATCCCAGCACCAACATGGGCGACAGCCGACAACGTGGCCGCCCGGCCTGCCCGACCTCCCAGCACCGACAGGGGCAACCCCAAGGAAGCCTGACCTGCCAGCACCGAAGGAGGCGACCCCACGGCCACTTGGCCTTGTAGCACCGGCGGAGGCGACCCCACGGCCGCCCGACCCGCCAGCACCGGCAGAGCTGACCATATGGCCGCCCAGCTTGCCCGACCTGCCAGCACCGAAGGAGGCGGCCGCTCGACCTGCCCTACTTGCCAGCACTGACAGGGGCGACCCCACGGCCGTCCGGCCTGCTAGCACCGGTATAGGCGACCCCACGGCCGTCCAGCCTGTCTGACCTGCCAGCACCGAAGGTGGCGACCTGACGGCCGCGATTGCTAAGCATGAAGCCTGAAGTCTTAGCATGAAAAGTCGTGAGCTATTTCGAAAGGCATCTAGGCATCCGAAATGGACAAAAGACGTTTTCGTCCTGGCGTATTTGAAACACCGCATATTCGCCGATACCATAAGATCTCGCAAGCAAAAGAAGCGTAACTACGTAGTTACGCTTCTTTTGCATTTCGCTATGGAGCCGCGCGCTGCACATACGGTTGCCGGACTGGAGTGAATGTAGTTACGCTTTTCTTCCCTACATGCCTCGCTGCAATTTGAGCATCGAGTGAAAAGCAAAAACACCTTACACCATTTTCTAGCAATATCTTATATGCCACGTAAAAAATATTAACACTGTTAGGTTCAGTGCAGTATTGCGAACAGTTTGACACCAAATTTTCTTTGATTGTTTAGGAACCGTCGATAATACAAGGTAAAACAGAAAAATCGCTCTCCTGAAAAATCGTCAAAAGCGAGTTACGCTTCTTTTCCTTTTCACGGCATGCCCTTGCCTCACTAGACCTGCCTTCTCACCACCCTCCGTGTCTCCCATTCTCAGGTGCTGGAGGTTAGTGCGTCCAACCGCCGCTCGGGGCGCCACCTGTCCTCCCAACTGTCAGAGGCCACCCAGTCCCAGCGGGTCAGCCTGCTGGGCGGCGGTAGCGGCGGTACGACAGCCGACCCGCCCAGCCGCAGTCTGCTGCTGCTCGAGGACGTTCAACTCGTCTCTGAGGAGCTCGATGACGGATTTCTCGCGGCCGCTGCCAGCCTGGCCGCCGCTGCCAAACGACCAGTGGTACTCACCAGTGACGACCCAGCCGTGACCCGCACCCGGCTGCTGCGCGCGCTGCCGCACCGGCTTCTGACGGCCACCGCGCCGGCCGCGGCCGAGCTCCGCGTTCGTCTGGTTCTGGTGGCTCTCAGTCAGGGCTGGCTGCTGCCGGAGCGGGTCGCCGCGCGGCTGGCCGGGGCAGGGGACGCGCGCCGCGCCCTCCTGCAGCTGCAGTGGCTCTGTGAGGGCCAGCCGGACGGCGCAGAGACGGTGGACACGTGGCAGGCGCTGACGGAGGCGCAGCTGGAGCCGATGGAGGAGTTCGTAGACCGCCTGCCGCCGACGCTGAAGGTGGTGCGGCTGACGGACTGTGAGTCGGAGCCGGCCGAGACGGCGGCGGGGCTACCGACGGTACCAGCCGGTCGCCGGCAGAGCGGCTGGACCATGCCGACGCCAGAGGTCGCCGCTGGGTATGACGGCCAGACTCGGCGCCGCTGGCGGTGCGTCGACCCGGACCTGTTCTCAGACGAGGACGAAGCCCGACCGCCGGCTCCTAGCCCGGCCCCGGCCCCGGCGGCGGAGGCTACCCCGGCGCAGAGCGAGGAGGAGACTCCACCGGAGGACCGCGTGCTGCTGGCGGAGTCGGTGGCGGCGCTGAGTGACCTCTATGACCTCCGCTCGGAGTGTGACGCTCTGGTATCTCCGGCTGACCGGCTGGGCTCCGGCTCCTGGTGGCGGCGGCGGCCCCAGGCAGACATGGCCGAGTCTGAGCAGCCCCGCTGTGTGACAGAGGAGCGGTGTGACCAGCTCGGGCAGCAGCTGGCGGCGGAGGCGCTCGGAGCCGCCGGCCGCCGCTGCGCCGACCGACTGCGGGCGGCGCGGGATCGGTTCGCGTCCAGCGGTCGACCCGAGCCGGAGGGTCTGCGTCTGCCCCTGTATGAGGAGGAGGGGGTCCGGCAGACAGCCTGGGAGCACCACTCCCGCCTGGCGCCGGCCGTGCCCAGTCTGCTGCTGAGCCGGCGAGCCGCCGCCGCGGACCTGCTGCCATCTATCCGCCGCATCTGTAGGCTCGAGTGCCACCGGCGGGCGACAGATGGCGGGAGGACGAGGAGATTCCTGCACTACTTCGACCAGATGGGGCTCCATGCCGTCCCGAGCGGGCTGAGAACGCATGTCTGCGAGAGCCTGATGTGATTGCTAGTGTCGTGAGCTGGAATGTCTGCTGTTAGCTAAGGTGATGTTTGACCGCTGCGCAAAACCTCAGTCCTCTGGACGCATGCATGCGGGGTTGGGAGCGGACGGTCGCCGATGTATTGGTACTGGTGACCGCATGTGATTTTTTTGACGCTCGTAGGGGAATGATTTGGGTAGAGGTGTTTGCACGTTGCTTGGTTGAAGTGCTAGGCCAATTTTATACCGCGAAGGCAATCCCTGAATGGTATGTCTCGTTCGTGGTAAGAGGGACCAGATGCGTGCCTTCCAGTTCATATTTGTGTACAAAGGGCTAAGGGCATTTCCGCTCAGTATGAGATTGTGAGCCTCCTGCCAAAATGCGTCCACAATAAACACTTTTTCCAGATGCATTGTGCTGTCTAAACCGGTGCATTTCGTTGCCCGATTCTTACTCTGAACGTCAGCTATTCCTTACACTCACGAACAACACATTATTTAGATATCGTTTTATTCATACACATTCACTACACATACCTAGTTATCGTGCGAAGAAGGAACTAGGAAGATATCCATTAACCTGTATGCCCTCTCAGAGGACAGATTTGCCCCGTTCAGCCCAGGCGCAGCCCCTTTCGCTGACATGCGACCACGCTGATGTACAGCAGATGTCAATGAAATACCAGTAAAACGCCTTTTGGGCGAAGAACGAGCGAGCGAGATAGTGAGCCCTGCACGTGCGGAAGGGCGAGAGGGTGCTTCCAACGGGCTTGCGCAAAGCACCTTTCTAACTGGTCACTAGCGGTGTGCCAAATTTGAACGCAATCGGCCCAGCCGTTCCTGAGATCTGGAAGCGGCATTCTGCACGTGCGCACGTGCAAACGGGGTCCAAAATGACTTTTGCACGGCACCCTACTAACTGGTCCCCAACCGTGTACCAAATTTGAGCGCAATCGGCCCAGCCGTTCTTGAGATCTGGAAACGCCCCTTGCACGTGCGCACGTGCAGTAGCACCCTAACCGCAACACATGGGAATGCATTGCCTGGTGGGTGCCTACCTGTATGCCAAGTTTCAGCGAAATCGCCCCAGTAATTACCGAGTTACTGAAATGGGAACAAATTTGGCACCTCTTATTGTTGTATTTTGCACGTGCACTGGGGGTGACCCACATGCATCGAGAGTATCCTATTTTGGGTAAAAGGGATGCTGCTACCCTACAAAAATTACCGCAAGTCAATCGCCCAAGCGGTTGCTGAGATATGAGCCTCTCAAAATCACTACTTTTGCAAAACAGCTTGAACACCCTTGACTTTTCACGTGGCACGTGCCACAACGGTCACTGAGATGTATCAAAAGTAGTCAATTACGGGGTAGAAGGGATGGGGCTACCCAGCAAAAAAGACCGCAGGCCAATCGGTCCAGCGGTTGCTGAGATATAAGCCTCTCAAAAGCGTTACAGGCCGGGCCGGGCCGGGCCGGGCCGGGCCGGGCCGGGCCGCTCATACTGAGATTTTTCCGTTATATTGAAAAGACTCACTTCGCTCGCTGCGCTCGCTCGCTCGTAATGATCATGGGGCGGTGTGTAGACAGTCCGCCGATAGGGTTGTCAACACGTACAGTTAAAATACAGATACATCTGTAGACAGACTGACCATTCCCTGAGACAGTAATGTTCGCACAATCATACAATAGTTACCCATTGCTCTTGCGAGCGACATTGAATAGCAGCGTATCGGACTACATTTTTTCTGCTTATGACGGCAGAGAAATGTAAATCGTCACCCGGCAGTCTGCACAAACAGACTGGTCCTTCTCATTCCGTATCTCCATCACTCGCTCCGGACATAAAACCCACGGAACCTCCATCATGCGCTCCTTCCAACACTCAGCACAACCAACAACAAACATGACTATCGGGTTCACGACTGGCCTCCTCTAGCTCACGCCACCACCCCTCGGCGACCTATGTAGTCCCGCGGTTCGGCGGACTTAACCCCTCAGTTCCACCCTCAGTCGCCCCGGGTCTGAGCCATGTCCAGCTCCAGTCTCGGCCGCTCCTGACTCCTGTGACACTCTGTGACCGTCTCGGCCGCCGCCAGTACCGGCTGGAAGGCGGACCGCACCGAGTGCAGTACGGTCGGGGACGGCGTGGAGGGCGGCACGGCCGGGGCGCCCGACACCACTGGCAGGGCGGTGCGAGTGCGCGCCTCGTGGTCACGTCGTTCTCGAGCGCGCCGGTTCTGGAACCAGATCTTCACCTGAGGGGGGAAAGGGGAGCGAGTACTGTCAGTAGGTGAAGTGTCAGAATATATCGGTGAGATAGCAAAGCTAAAAACTAGATAAGATAAATATGCATCTGGGTAGGGGACAAAGAACTTTGGAAAGTTGAAGACGCGATAAACGCGTTTTGTTGATTGAAACAACACAGTACAAGAGAATGACAGCATCCCTGTTACTTTCATCCACAATCTGGCTCATTATCCAGCACATATTTATACGCCCTATAACGAGTGAGCAGGTGACAAGAATTTTGATAGGGCCCGGCAAGCCCCATCGCGGAACCATTCTTCCGTGATGGCTCTTTTCAAAGGACCAACAAAAGCGAAACAGCGCGGGCCAGCCGGCCGAAAATTGGTCGGCTCGCCCGTCTAATGCGGCGGCCCTCGCCAATGGAGTCCTCGGTTCCACTCAAGTTTACGTTTCAACTACTAGCCGTCTCGGCGCCGGCCGGTTTGAAACACGTCCTCCAATGCCCGTCCACCGTGTCATCACCGTCCAACAATCTGCTACAGATCGGAGCCGGCTGCTCTCGGCGCCGCACGGCCCGGTGTGACCACTCCTCCCCTCTCTCCCTCCTCAGTGTGTCACATTGTTGTCGCCGAGTGGCAGCCGGCGGTGGGCCCGCTCCGGGACCGCCACGGGCCGCTCATCCCTCTGTCCACGCCTAATCAACCGTCCAACCCATAAATAAACCGGCATTGACACGCCGGCCGCGTCGGCCGATGGCGCCCACAGTGCGCTAATGTACTATAAACAAGACGATAATCCCCCTATAAAATAACCCGGGCCTATCTTTCCACAGAGCGGGCGGGCGCAGGGCGACACTGAGGGGTCCGGACAGGACGGGCGGAGCCGCCGCGGCCAAGAGGCGCCCCTACGGAGCGCGACGCTAGACGGTGCTGTCACTGACTGGATCGGCAATCGTGTTGTGTCGGCCAGTCAACTCCATTTTCTGTCGTGCGCCCTCCTCGGTCCTCTTCTCGTCACTCTGATGGGAACGCTACCATACACGTTTCTTTCCAAACACTTCGTGTTCAACATAGTCTTCAGCCAAGTCTGTCCAGATACGGCTTCATGTCCAATATCCGGTAGCTGCCTAACCCAGGCTGCTCGGCTGATCCAGTGTCACATTCCAGCTGCCCTATCTCTCCCAGCACATCTCCTAATCCTTCCAACCCAGTCTCCCTGAGACACGACGCCTGACCAATCAGCCCCCTCTTCTCTCCAGCCTCGGAGAACACCAGTAATGTTTCTCGTCCCCCTGTACCGCCGCCACCGCCGTACCATCGTGCCACGCGCTCACCAAGACAAACCCAGGGCTTACTGAGGCGCAGCTCTGAGCTCGCACCTGGCTGCCGAGTGCCGCTGCTGGCACGGTTCTTTGCCAGTCCAGGCGCCGTAATGGGTCTGTTCCAGTGATAACCATCATAGTCGGGAGCGCCGCTAATAGGTGGTCTAAGGAAGCACCCCTCATACATTCCACCCCGGCTCCGCGGAATGTGCGACCCCGAATAGCGGAGGACAGGGGAAGCCAGGGGACCGATATCCGATACAATATGGCGATAGGCTATGCGTGTATTATAATGAGATAAGCAATCGCAATTTGTTATTAAAAACGAATATGATCGGCTCACAGCTGGATACTCTATCGACATGCTCCATGCAGTTTTTTTTTAACAAAACAAAAAAAAAGATAAAAGGACATTGGTGATCACTCGGGTCTGTGAAAACTATCCCGGTAAATAGGCACTCACCCGGGTCTGAGAGAGGCAGAGCAGGCTGGCCAGCTCCGTCACGTCGTAGCTGCTCAGATACTGTTTGTGTCGGAACTTGTGCTCCAGCAGCGCGATCTGGTGTGACGAGAACGGGATGCGCGGGTTCCGGCCCAGCCGCCGCTTCTGCACGCCTTCCTTCTTTGGTCCTGTGACACACGGCTCACCGTTAGAAGTCAGCCACACAGAGCTGTCACAGAGCTGACACTCCTTCTTAGGTCCTGTGACACACGGCTCACTGTTAGTAGTCAGTCTTCCTCATTTGATGTCAACGAGGGAAAGGCTTGGATAACACTAACAAGTGCGCGCCATGGATCAAATTTAATCACACCACATCCGTTCAGGGGATCTCTAAATTTTGGTACGTTTTACATTGCTGATGGGCCCATGTGCAGCAGTAATTTATCTCGCGAGAACAGAGCTGAAATAGCTCAGCTCTCAGCCCGGGCTGCATTCCGTGCGGTATACGCCCTGACCGGCGCGGCGCAGGGCATATTTTAACAAATTTTTACTGCGTCCCAAAGTTGAGCAGAGGGCACGTGCTACGACTAAGGGCACAGGGCAAGGAACAGAGTAGGGCACTGAGGAGGGCAGAAAGTAGGGCACGACAGGTTACAGGGCATGGCACAGGACATTTTAGAGGGAAGGGTACAGGTCAGGGCACACAGCAGGGCACAGTTTAGGGAACCGGACAGGGCACAGGGCAGGGACGCAGTGGGTCAAATCAGCAGGGGCTACGTCCCAAGGTGAGGGGGCTGCGTCCCAGAATGGGACGCAGTAAGTGCCTTAAAATATGCCCTGGCGCGGCGCGCAGAGTGCGTGTGGCCACAGTACCACGCCGGTATGCAGATGACTCGCGCCGCTCGGGCGACATAGACGATGAAATGTACCGATAGCGGCGGCCAGCTTTTGTAGCGCGCCTCCCGCCCAGATAATCATAATTCACTAACCACGGGCCGGCCGGCGCGCGCGCGACCGACAACTGTCTCAAATTGAGCTTTTGCCCGGCGGCCGAGATGCACGCAACCATCCAGAAAAATGCCGAAAAATTCAGGCCTCTATCGTCAACAGTGTGGGTCTGATGGGATCGGCGCGCCGCCCTAAGCCGATTATAATGGGCGCGGACGTGTGCTTTCACAGCGAATGGCACGCTTCCCTCATCTCCTTTCAGTGTGCTGGCATCGGTATGCTGAGGAGACGGGACACACTGCGCCTTGGACAGTGTTTAGTAATGTGAAGAAAGAACGTCTCAATTAGCATTGTGTCTCTTATACACGCAGTCAACGTTTGTTCTAAGGATGTTTGTCAACCGATGCACTTGAACTGGAAACAAGGCAAGGCACTTTGATAG